TGTCAGGTTTGGTAAAAACCTGATAGCTGATTTATTTCTTTACTGCTATGAGGGGGATTTTATGTTCAGACTTTCCCCTACTTCACACCAGGAAATTATACATGCATTTAACATTTCCCGCTACCTAGATGATATCCTTAACAATGTTAAGTGAAATAAACAAAAACTGAATAATCCTTATTTTGATCAATTGGTTTCTAAAATATATCCCAGTGAACTTAAATTGAATAAAACTAACTAACAATACTATAGTAACTAAAGTCTACGATAAAAGAGATGATTTTGATTTTAAAACTATTAACTATCCACATTTAGATGGAGATGTACCTCATGCTACATCATATGGGGTGTATATTTCTCAATTAATTAGATTTGCTAGGGCGTGAAGTCGTGTTAATGATTTTAATGAACGCAATTTATTCATTACTAACAAACTACTTAAACAACGTTATCGCTATCATAAATTGCATAAATATTTTACCAAGTTTTACCATCGTAGTATAGACTTAATTTTTAAATGTAATTGTAATTCAAAAACTCCTTTACGACTAGGTATTAGCAAACCTGATTTCTATGGAGCTGTTTACAAACTTTGTAGGATTATGGGTCATAGTAATTTTTCTGCCGTCTTCACTAAAATTATCAAACGGTTTAAAAAGAGGTTATGACCCAATTATCTTAAGGCATACCGCATTCTTGGTGTTCAACCCTTTTACAGTTGGACGCTACGCTTTCCTCTTTTAATTACATCTGACGGACTAAGTGGCAGACTCTGTGATGGACCGTTTTTAAGCACTTTTGGACTGAATTGTCTTAATAATCGTCTTCTGTCTTGCTTCGTCGGGCCCCTGTAAGTGATTTTCAGGCATCAAGTACTTTGGTAATGGTCATTAGCCTCTACCTTTTTCTGCATATTTACACAATCTTTTACGTGTTTTATCTATTTCGTCTAATGTAACCATGACCATTGTTAGAACTTCACTTGGCGGGGATTAATTTTATTTACATTTTCGTGTCATTTAGGAACATATTGGGGCTAAGAGTGAGGTTTGGCTCGCATAAAACCGGTTTAAACTCCCCAGTGGTTTAACTACCACTGACCGTTCCAAGGCGGTACCCCTCTGTGTTCCTTCACGTGTTTCCGTGTCTCTATTGTTACTTGTTTTGGATGTTTGCATTTTTGTGATGTCTGTCTTATTGGATTGTCGTTGACGGTAGGTATTTTCTCAAACCACCTTATCCCATTTTTTTCACCCCCAAAATTTTCGCTCTTGCAGCCCTTGTCCCTTTAATTCCCCTATGGGACAATTTTAGTTTATATTACTTCATACATTTCATGTCCCACTTCTTTCGCCACCCGTGTGTCCACTCCGGGTGTTTGTTTGGTGTCATCTGGATGCCCTACTTAGGTGTATCGGGACTGCCTCCTGTGAACGTTGCCTTTGCATTGTTGATCTTTGTTCTTGTTGAAAATACACCTACTGATGTACTACTGTCGTGCCTCCAAACAAGTATCTTTTACTACTATAAATGAGCAAGTAGTACTTGTTTCCTTTTATCCGTTACTATTTTTTCATATTTAAGGTATTACACAATATATTAACTATAATAATTGTATCTTTGTTATGTAATTATTGAATAATTACTGCCCCTGCCCTGACATCAGGCAATGTGCGACAGGGTTGCATTGAAGTTATTGGGCAATATTTTACATGCTTTGGTTCAGACAGAATGTTACCATATGTTAACTCATAACTGCATGAGCAAAAATGTGAAAAAAGGCGATTTTCAGTTACAAGTTCAAATTGCTATAAAACTATAAAAACTGCTTCAATACTCAATACTGATCAAACATGGCACAAATGTTGACTGGACCATTGCCTTTGTAACATCATGCTCAGTCTTAAATTTCCTGTTACAATGGCAACGAGGGGACATCTCAAAATTGCCACAAAACCCTATTTTGCATTGATTTTTTCCATCAAAATTGATTTCAAAGTGTGCAACTTCTCAATGGATTGAGATAGAGTCAAAGGCTTTTCAGCGTTGGTTATACGTTACCGTATGATCGACCTGCGATGAGGAGGGTTGCTGCCCCCTTCAAACCCCAAACAGAAGGGGGCACATCCCCCTTCTGGCAACCACCTGATGTATCTTTTGGATAGGGGGCCGCGCCGAAAAAGTGGTCACTTTTTTAAACATCATTTCCCAAACAAAAACAAGTATTTGGGGCCTCATTAAGGCATTTTTTCACCGTTTGAGACAACAAAAAGGGGGAGTATAGGCGTGTATATCTGGTAATGTGGTTAATATAACTATGATCTAGCTCGCTCAGGGTACCAACAGGGGCATAGTCAATGCATCGTATTTGGATTCATTCTGAGTAAAAACTTAATTTGTTTCGCATATCATAAATAACCCGGGTGCATGTGAATTATAACTTTTTAAAAGAAACATTAGGTTACGTCTCTTATTAAAAGCCAGGTGTATATCTACCCTTACTGATAGTAAATGGCCAGTCAGCTAGAATTTACTTATGGCTAAGGAGACTACTATTGATTGTGTAACATGTCCCTGCATACACAATGTGTACGATCCCCATAATGTTTAAGTAGCGGCCGGATGTACTCAAAATGATAAACAACGATCTGACCAACATATCTCTAGTTAAAAAAAATACAACATGCAAAGTTTTATTGCGTTTGAGTATATAACGTCCTACCAGAACAACGCCATTGTTATCAGTATGGCTGCAATTAACGAATGTGAATATCATTTATCCGAGCTTTTTTTTCCCGAATTTCATCTAATTCAAACATTGACGGAACAATACTTATACACACTTTCGGTCGGATGATGGGAATTTACATCAAGTAAAGAACTTTCTGAACCGAAAACAAAAGTACTTCTTTAACACTGTTCCTGTAAAAGTGTCAAAACTTAAATGGTAATAGTAATACGATGTTAAAATAATGCAAAATGTCTGCTATAAGTCAAACCATTACAAATGAGTTTCAAAACTTATATAAATCAGACCTAATGTTTAATTAATTACGCCCTTCGTTAAAAAGATTTCTTGATCTTTTCAGGATGTTTTGAAGAAAAAAAACACTTTAAATTTAAATAATTTAAAACACACATAAAAATGGAAAGAAAATTAAACACTGAAATTCGCTTAGCGAAAAGCATTAATAATTATCCGCTGAATAAGGATAGTAATTCTGAAAATTTGCAGTCATTACATAATCCATTGCACATGCCAAGTATATAGTAATTATTTAACAAAACATTAAACTGTGTGAAAATAAAAATAAGCATAACAACATAAAAGGAGACATGTCTTTTCACGTGAACGTATAACTAACCCAATGAAATGAAGTGTTATTTTTATATTAAAATATAAGAGATACGCATGTTAATATTTAGAAGGTTTAAGCATGGATTCTGTTATGTACCTACATACACGTGACTTTCAATGTAAATACGTATTATGGTTACAAGCTAGAATCGTCTTTAATGTTTATGTAGGATGTATGTTTGAAGTATGTGATTAATTAGATATGCTTTCAAAAATTGCTTTTAATTTAAAATCCTTTTGATAATTCCTTATTTTTCATGACTTCAAAATATAATTTTAAATATTTTCAAGTCTTTAGTTCTTAGCTCGACTATATGAATTAAGTGGAGAGCTGTCCTACTCGCCCCGGCGTCGGCGTCCGCGTCCAGATTTCAGATTTTGGTGCAGTAAAATATTTTTCATTATAACTTTTTCATTTCTCAAGGTATCAATTTCAAACTTCAAATATATGTTTTTTATCATCAACCATATTTATGTGACAAGGTTCATAAATCTAGCACAATATTTTAAGATTTATCTACCCTTGAACTTAAAATTTCCTTAAAAAATACTTTTTTACTGTTTCTTCTTTATTTCTTAAGGGATCAACTCCATACCTCAAATATATGTTGTCCCTTATCATTAACAACACCTTACGTGACAAGGGTCATAACTCTAGCACAAATATTGCAAAGACTATTTCCCCATAAACGTAGATTTAACTGTTATTTTTTACCATAACTTTTTTAGTTTTAAAGGTATCTACCTCAAACTTTAAATACTTATTCCTTATCATCAATTACATTTTGTGTGACAAGGTTTAGAACTATTTAAGCAATATTTTCAGATTTATATCTCTGTGAACTTAGTATTTTCTTTAAAGCTGCACGCCTCCAGATGAGCCAAAAAAATTCAGAAATTCAATCTTTAGAAAAATATATTAATATCTTAAGAAAAGTTAAAAGATTCAATATTCAATTAATTGTTTACATGTTATGTACGATTAATGACTGATTTTGCAGTATCAATCACTATAATTCTACTGCGCTAACAACGCAGTAAGAGGCATTTATGTATATTTTGACCTCTTTTTTGGTAATTTACGTGGATTGTAAGTGCCGTTTGCAATGTGTAAATTATTTATTTGTTCACTTCACAATATTTTACTTTTAAATACATTTTCAAATTTTTCATGAAAATTAGCATGAATCTGGAGGCATGCTGCTTTAAGAAATATTATAACTTCTTTATCTTAAAGGTATATACCTCAAACTTCAAATGTATATTTCTTATCATTACGCACATGTTGTATGACAAGGTTCATAACTCTAGCATGACTATTTCTAGAATTTTCCCCACTTGAACTTAGAATTTATGTTAACAAATGTTAATGTTTTACTATAACTTAATACATATTTATACATAATTGAATTTTCTTTCATAGTTTTGTCTTCCTTACTGCGTCCATTTTTTTATTAGTTGCTGTCTCCTGTGACAGCTCTTGTTAGCGATATTATATAATGTGCTATAAATGTCTCAATGCCATATGTTGTTTTGTATTATCTCACATTGTGTGGACATGAAACATGTAAGGCAATTTTAAAATAAAACTCCTTGAAAAAGCTTTTGAGTAATATTATACTTTTCTTGTGTTTTATTTCAGGTACAAATACGGACAATCGTTATGAAGCACAACTCTATCTGCAAGTAGTATATATGTTCGTTGACTTGGGTACAAAAGTGCTTTTAGATTTATTTTCGTACTTACTGGCACATGATGATATCAACATGTTACTTGTTGACTTTTTGAAATCAAACGAAACAAAACTAATGTTAGAAAAGTTATTCAACGATAGAGTTATTAATAAAAAGGAACTCAGACTTGCAACAGCGGACAATCCAAAGACGGAAAATTTTGATATTTCTCTCTTGTTAACTTTAATGATGAATTTGATACCAAACAAAATACTTTCTCCACCAAAATATGGATGGAAAACACCCCCACCTCTCACAGATGATTCCATATCTGCAGATTTGTTACGTCTTCGAAAGATCCGAAATGATATTATTGCACACATTGCAAGACCTCAAATTCCTCAACCAAAATACATTAGAACCAGGGATGAACTAATCCACATTTTATGTCGACTAACCCAAAAGTTTCATCCTCGCACGTCAAAAGACAAGATTATGAAAGAAATTAAAAAAAGAATCGATTCGTGTCAAGTTTCTGTTGATTCATCACTAACAGAAGGTTACATCAGTCGTGTAAAAGAATGGCACTTAAATTTCACTAACAAGGTTATTTGCTTTTAAAATAATAGTTTTGTTTGTCTTTGAAAAATATTTATTCAAATGACTATATACTAAGATTAATACACTTTTTAATTGTTTTATTAAATATTATGGAATTTAAAACTAATATACAATGATTAATGTTTGATAGAATTTAAAAAAAAGACATCCTGTCTGTAACAATCTAACATTTACTTTTTACAGGTAGAGGAGTCACTCAAAACATTAAATGGTAAGATTTATTTATTTTGTAGCATTACCTTTTTTATTTAGATATTCGATTTACAAAATTCTAGTTTTATTATAAAAATTCTAATAAGAAATAAGCATAATAACATACAAAGTAGTTTTATTTCAGACAACTGACTTTTATTTTAACGTTACAAATAGAACGAAAACAAACAATATTATGGTTAACATTGAATTGAAGTATTAATTTTCAAAGTTAAAGTTAAGCTAACTGCAAACTGCTGATTTTTATTTCAGAGTTTGACTTGTACTTTACAAACAAATCGAACCGATGTGAAAGATATATAGAATTACTTTTCAAAGGTGGCAAAACTGTTTTGTTTGGTACTTTGGAACGGGAATGCAAAAAGAAAAAGTACAATGTCAAAGATATGTCTGAATTCATTAAATCATCTGACCATAACGAAATAGAGAGTGAAAGAAAATATTGGAATAGGGATCCATCAAATTGGAATGTATGGCAACTGTCGACATTTCTATTAGACAAGTTTGATCAGGATTTAAGTGCAAATGAAGTAAAGGAAATTGCCAATATACACAAGGCAGTTACAAATTATGCAGAGGCTATAGTGTCCTCTTTAGACAGAGATCGCTTCAGTCCTCTGTGGACCAACTTGGTCAGTAGCATTAAATGTATGTCGATGGTTTTAGACGCGGATATTAAACAGCGGTGCGATGACTTAATTGATAAGAGTGACATGGAAACTGAAGTCGACCTTACATTTCTTAAACAGTTTTATCCAAAACTCAGAACATTAACAGATGAATACAAAGGTACGCACAATAAACACTTCATTTACTCATTTCTTTGTGATTAGGTTTTAAATCAAAATGTCATTTAAATCAAATATAAAGTTAAATGTGTATTCTTATTTTCACATAAAAATAAGTGTCTCTATTTAACTTTTCCAAAATGTTTCAGTAAAAGTGAGACAGTTTAAAGACTTATTACAGGAAATGGAAGAACACAATATACCTTTTCAAGAACCCCAAAGTAAGTAGTTTTGGTATAATTTCTTCGAGAAAGTTAGAATAAAGCTTTCGGATGCACTTCCGCTTTTGTTAAGTCTCTCACAATGCCTACTCCTCCCCTTTATCGACAATGTAATGAATACATATATTTAATTGTTAGATTACTTAAGTTTTAACACAATTGTACCACTTTTTTCGGCTAAGAATTTCGAATTTGTTTTTGCCTTCTGCTTTAGTTTACGGGGATTATTCCATACATGGTATAATATAAATAGTAGTTATGTTTTAACATTGTAAATGTTGTATTCACCTGACTGACTATACTTTTTTTACTTTCAAGTAGAGTTGTTAATTACCTCACTTCACTAGACTATCAAGTTAAAGGTTTAAAGTCTGTTATTTTACCACTATCAAGAACTAATGATTTATTATTCAAGCGTTTATAGTTGTAATTTAATCCCTTTATTTACAGAACTGGAATTCAAATTCATAACACTTGGGGACAACAAAGAGAAGACAAAAATAGCCGAAGAAATATTATTTTCAGTGTGGCAGGTGGCATTGGGACAAGTTGAAGATTCAACTAATTTCAAGACAGTCCGAATTGCAGTAAACAGAATCCTTCAAACAATAAGAAATATGCCAGATGTCATAGATGTAACAGCTGTACATAAATGCATAATTGTAGGAATCAGCTTTCATTCGCCAACGGGTATTTTAGAGCTCCTGAGTTATTTGGAGGATGGAACCTTTCAAGAAAGCATTACAGTAATAGAAAGTGAATTAGTGGATGTTTTCGATGGATGTATCAAAATAATGTCGAACTTCACGCTAGACTCTCTGCACGCTATTACAACAAATATAGGTTGGTTTAACCAGATTACACTCTCTCATCCATTTTTCAAATTATTAACAGAAATATATAATTAATTATTTATAAGGGTTCAAGTAATTTTTAAAGGATATTTTTCCCTTTTGAATGTAAAGTCATAATAAATTATAAGAAATATATTTATGTTTGGAAAGTTTTGATTATAATATTCGATTTCAATAGCATATATGTTCAATGTTAAATACTAAAACAAATATTGATAAAAATGTTAGAATTCTGAAAATGTTATGTACTCTTGCAAAACCATGCTTAAATGAAATGATAAATTAGTGTATTTTTGCACAATTTAGCAAAAGGTGATAAACGAAAAGCAAATGTCATCAGACTTCCTATTACATGCAAATCTGCCGAAGGAATAATGGCTGCAGTGTCCTTTTGTCAAAGTAAAGAAATAGAGGAGAGTAACAAAATTATATCGAAATCACTTTCTGGTAGTCTTGGCCAAAAAATTACGCTACAGACAGGTTTGGCAGGTTTTTACGAACATTTGGATGACACAGGTTTGTAGAATAGATATAACATTTCAATGTGTCAACAATGGCAGATAGCATTTCATGTAAAAGATTTCTATTAATTATAGGATTTCTCACGTTCGTTTTAAATCGTTAAATATACAGTCAAAAGGTAACGAAAAATGGAGCCATTGAATAACGATGTCTGACAAATTGTTGTCTTTGTTATCTTTTGTCATAACAATATTATTTTTAATATACACATTCAGTACTTTAATAGTGAACTTTTTTCAAAACGTATTAGAATCGGAGTCTATATCCTCCGAAGAAACGATTGGTGAAGAGATGGGCATCATTGAGTGCACAACACAAACTGCAGCTGAAAAATGGACTGACATTTTAGAACATGACCCGAGACAAATGGGAAAATATGCTAGCAAGATGACTGGTGGGTATTTTTTATATAAGTGTTAAATAGTCCGAAAACTGTGACTCAGTATTTTGAATTTGATGTTTATACGATCATTCTTAATTATTTTAAAGAATACATACCCTAATTGAGACCAGAAATATTTTTGACATCTTTATCCTTTTTAAGGAAGTGTAAGCCTTTCATTTTTAAAATATTAGAAAATTTCACCATCCAATTGATTCAATAACCATGGCTTATAGTTATAGTTCACACTATAAAGTGTTGAGAATTGAGTATCGCTCAAGCCGGTGCTAGGGGGCGTGAGGGATGTTGCACTTATTCATTATCCCTCATGTACAGACTCAATCAAACCGAGTCTGCAATTCTTATGTTATTTTGTTGTGATTAATGCTTCCGAGGGATCACTTTGTTTCCGGAATTTTATTCAGACAAATAGATTTTATATTCAAACTATTTCTGCTTATATATCATTTTAGACCCATACAATTTACAATGTTTACAAAATATTATCTTTGCTTTTAATAACATTTTACACGTTGAATAAATGCATGCTCGTCAAGTAGATTCCACTTTTCACGAAACATATTTTCACACACTGAAAACCAAGGTTCATATATAGGAAATCACATGATTAAAAACGCCTTCAATATATATAAACAAGTTTTAGAAATAAAAAAAAACACTTTAACTTTGTGTGTTCAGTTTCCTCAACCGGGATTTGGACCTACATCTTTAGTTTGGACCACGGGCATGTAGTTATAAGGAAAATGTTAGAAGAAAACCAAATCATTCTAAATGAGAATTTGGGTAGAGTTTGTAATCAATTTTTATTGTAAAAATTACCGTTTAGGCAATAAAAGTTAATTTCTTCCTATATTTCTTTTAAAGTCATCTTTTACATTGACCAAAATTATGATGAAGATGAAAAGTAATGCAACTTCTGTTAAATAAATTATTATTACTTTTCTAAATATAACTTTGCCGTAAAAAGAGTTTGTGTGACAAGATGTCAGGTTTGAATTCAAAACGTTATGATAAGTCCTATTTCAATGTTACTCTGTCTAAGACTTGTCTGTAAACAATTTCATTATCCTATACTTTACTTCAATAAATCTGATATGCTTAAATAAAAATACGCATTATTTGAGTGGTTATCAGGCTTTTCCGCAATGTTGAGAATGGTTGATGGTGGCATCCATTTTCAAATTGTAGATAAAGAGTCTCATTTAGCCTTAAAACAATTGAATTAAACTACACAAATTGTTATGCTTATGCTCAGCTTCAAAATACGACTTTACTTAACGAAAAAGTAATATCGAGGTGAAAAAATCGATAACAGGAAAAATCAGAAATATCATTAACGTTACATTTAATGCTACGATTTATTCCATTTTCATCCGTTAAAATGAATAAATTGATAACTGTTTTCTGATTAGCGTTTTACTTTTTCATGTTTTGAAAAATAGTTACAGTAAACACCATAATAGCTATAATTTATATAAAAGCGCTATCATATGACCGAGTGAAGCATGTACAGAAAATCTCTGCCCCTTCAAACTTCGCAATACTTCGCCGATCATTTACGGAAATAGCCGATTTGTTGTTGTTCTTCGCAGACTGATTAAATTCGACCAGTCTGTACTAATTCTTAATAAACAATTTGAAATGGCTTTATGTTGGCGCAACTATCATTGGATTTTTAACCGTCTAGGTGAAAAAATGGACATCATGATATGCATAACACAAACTGTATCCGAAACGTAAAATTATAATTAAACTATTAATTATAATTATTTAATTATTTCAAATATGTGTGTGATATACCGTGATTGCTCTTCAGTAGATCTTTTCGAACGGATTACATCTGAGAACGGTTTGGCTTCATGTAAAATTGACAGGGATTAACTAAATTGGATTTTCATTGGTCATTTTGAAAATACAAACTGAAACCAGGGGATCTCATTGGCAAATCTAAATTTAATATACTAACATAAAGGATCTTTCTGAAACGCATACACGTCCAAATTATCAAACAAGAGGGCACAGAGGGCTCTGGATCGCTCACCTGAGAAATATGTCAACAGGTTTAAGAGGAGCCCCTTTCACCCCAGAAGAAATAGCGAAAATTAAAACATCGCGAAAAATACAAGATTTACAGTACATATACGGAATATCAATGACCACTGGGCCGGACAAAATTTGACCCTAGGGCTAACATTTTAGTAGTAGATAGGTAGACAGCCACTAGAATATGTTTTATGCAAAATATATAAACTCTAGCTCTTTTGGATTTCCTCAAGAAGAGTTTTAAGTTTTAACTATATAAATGTATATATAAGGAAAATAAATGACCCCCTGGGGCGGGGCTAATTTGACCCTAAATATTTTATTTGAATAAACTTTGCAATCCCCCTTTTGAAGATGTTTCATGCTTAATATCTTAGAAGACCTTTGCTCTTTGGGGTTTTCTTAATAAAGAATTTATAAATTTTTACAATAAACATGTAAAGAAAATCAGACCCCGGGGCAGGGCCAATTTAACTCTGGGGCTTTTACTTGAACAAAGTTTGTAGACACTCACTAGAAATTGTTATGGGTTATTTAAAAGAAGATTTTTTTAAAGTTTTTACTATAGACATATAAGGGAAATCAGTACCTGCAGGGCGGGGCCAAATTTAATCCCAGAGCTTTTATTTAAACAACCTTTGTAGACACTTTCCAGAAGATGTTTTATGCTAAATAACTAAGCTCTAGCTCTTTGGGTTTTTTAAAAGAGGTTTTTTAAATTTTACTATATACATACGTATATGTATAAGGAAAATCAATGACCCCTCCTCTAGCGGTGCGGCCAATTTTGACCCCAGGGATTTTATTTGAACAAACTTGATAGACACTTACTAGAAGATGTTTTAAATATCTAAGCTCTAGCTCTTTTGGGTTTTTACAAGAAGATATTTTAAGTTCTTACTATATTCATATAGGGAAAAGCAATGCCCCCCCCACTGGGGCGGGGCCAATTTTGACCCCAGGACTTTAATTTTAACAAACTTGATAGACACTCACTAGACAATGTAACATGCCAAATATCTAAGCCTTACCTCTTTGGGGTTTTAAAAAAGGAGATATATTGAGTTTTTCCTTTTTTGCCATTTCAACCAGAGTTCTGCATGGAATTAAATTCTTTGAAGGTGACCACAAAAGGAACATTCATGTGAAGTTTAGATGAAATTGGCTTAGCGGTTAATGAGAAGATGTCGTTTAAAGTAAAACTTTAAGGACGGACGCCGGACGAAAAGCAATCACAAAAGGCCGTAACAAGTGAGCTAATTATGTAAAGATTTTCGGAAATAGAATTTCTAGTAAAATTTCTCGGTTATTTGAGATCTGTGCATTTCCTCCAAATTAACATTATACACTGTTTTAATTTTTTCATACGTTCTAGTAAATAGTTTGTTTACCGGGCTTTGAATAGCATTCTATTAGTTTGTACAAATTAACGAAACTAAATAGAATTCACGATCTCGGATTTTAACATGTGCATACTGAAAGACAGCAAATAAAAACTCCAAGCATTTCTGGTACACCACGTAGATTATGTTCAGTGTTTATGATATTATCATTTGATTATTGATGTATTCAATTGATATTATCTTCAAAATTTCGATAATTTTTGCATATTGAATAAGCAAATGTTAATGTATACACGAATACATAAGTATAGGTACACTAACGGAAAGACAAGAGTTGAATTCTATTTAAAAACATATCTTTCATTGTTTCTTAATTTAAAAATTAAATGCTGTTTAAAACTTCGTAATAACATATGTAAGTAAAAGCAGTTTTTTAAAATACTTCATGTACTGTGGGTTAATCGCCTTCATTTATCAAATCATATATTAAACCTTTGCTAAACAGCATAAGTTATTTTTTATTATATCACAAGTATAAAACAGATTTCTTTCAATTTTTTGAAAATTCTGATTAAGCAATGTTTTGACAATTTTAGATGTCCCCTGACATGAATCCGTGTTGACTAATCCGTTACAACTCGTCTATGCAGCATGGAAAGCATGCACCCCAATATTTTCATGTTTTGATTGGGTGTATATTCACATATCTTTTGTTATACGGCGACATTACCGGCTTATTGTCATTCAGTGGCTTACTTTTCTTACATCTGTCACTTCGATATGGTGGCGGCATTTGAGAGAAGCAGAGTTACGGAGGGCTGTAGGGATGGTGTAGCCGGGGGCCACCTTCCGCCAGGTGTGTGCAACATCATCATCACCAGAGCCAAGACGAGATACCGGCTACATGGTACACCCGCCAGGAGGCATGCAGGAGGTCGGCAGAGTGTAACAACACCAGCGCAGGATCGGTTCTTTGTCGTTCAGGCACTTCGTGCAAGGTTTTCGACAGCAACTTCTCTTCGAAATGACCTTGAAATGCTGAAATGCTGCCGGGTCCGTGTTTCCACGCAGACGGTACATAGATAGCTGCATGAAGGTAATTTGCTGTCGAGAAGACCTTGCATACGTATCCCCTTGACGCATTGACATCGCCAGGCACTTTGAATGGACAAAGAGCATACACGGTGGACCATGCAACACTGGAGACACGTACTGTTTAATGATGAGTTTAGGTTTATATAGGCGTGCTAGAGCCTGAAGAAGAAAAGGTTAACGGTTTCATGATGCAAATATTGCTGGGCATGACGGCTACTGAGGTGGGTCAGTTATAGTGTGGGGATATATTATCTGGGATGGACGAACCGACCTGGTTGTGCTTAATAGAGGCACAATGACGGGTCAGCGATACATAGGCGACATCTTAGACAACCAGGTTAGGTTGTATGCTGGAGCAAGCGGCGATCAGTAAATTCTCATGGACAATTATGCTGGCCCCAAAGGGCCAGGATAGTCCAGGACTACCTAGAGAAGGAGTACATTGATCGCATGGACATGCAATCTGGCTCACCTGACTTTAATCCAATAGAACACATGTGGAATGAGCTACGCGTTAGCATTTCAGCTCGTCAGCAGCAATCCAGACCCAACCAGGAGCTTGGAGCCATGTTTGTCGAGGAATGGACAGCCATACCCTTTAGAATGATCAGGGTATGAGAATGCGCTGTCACGCTATCATTGATAGTCACGGGTCACATACACGGTATTAAGTCTAAATCTTTAAACCAAAAAAACCACAATGATTTAACAAAGTTGGAAAGCACGCTTCATGTTCTGAAATCTCCAAAGAGGGAGGCGTCCACTTCTTTAGAACAAAACCAGTGTTAAACTCATTTATAGTGTTAAGTTCGTCCAGTTGAATTGATAAAACAGTAAATCATCATTAAAAACCGTTTGCACAGCAATTATAAAATTATCCCCGTAAATATTCACACTCAAACATTTTGTACTAAACAAAAGTTGAGTAGTTAACTTGATTAGTTGAAGGGCTTGAAACTTAAACAAACTGTCATATTCGAAGGGGTTTAGATTATTGATTCTACTAATTAGATTTTCTTTGATATTTTTTTCTTGGTGGCTGACTGCAAGGCGTGCATATAGCAATAGAATACTGATATCTTCAGGTGTTAAGAAGCTAGGAAGACGTTGCACTTTTTATAATCTCGCATTAACAGACTTAATCATACCATGACTTCGACTTATACAATTATTAAAATCTGATTTCATTGATCTCGAGGATCTCCCATTACCCGACTTTCAATAATGATCAATCCTTATATATAAGAGTATAAAAGTTTAATTTGTTCTTAAATGAAAACTGTTGTATTTGATGTAAGATCCCGGCGAAAGTACTTTAACTTTATTCTAAGGCAATTGCTCATTTTGTAAAATAAAACATGTTAGATGCGAGGTTTTGTGAACACACAGTTAGCTTTCCTACGCGACGTTAAAACTGATCTGCATAAATGCACATGATATGCATGTATAAATGTGGTTGTTTGATATAAATGTATCAATATTGATCAATGATAAGAGAAATGATTTGATAATTTCGAAAGCTTAAAATAAAATTTTACAATAAAAGTACCTATCTATGTTGATGATTATTTTACCCCCGAAACAAAGTATATAGGAATCACTCGGTGGTCGATCGGTCCAGCCGTCTGTTGCATTTCTTTGTCCGGAGCATAACTTGAAAACTACTAGTTAGAATTCAGTACAACTTCATGCGATCGTCAAGCACATTAAATGGAAGTGCAGAGCACAAGAAGATTAACACCATTTTGACAAATTACAGAGTTATTGCCCTTTGATACATTTCCTTGTCCGGAGCATAACATGTAAAGTACTGGTTGGAATTCAAAACAACTTCATACAATGGTCAAGCCCAAAAAGAGAAAGTGCAGTGCACAAGAACCATAACTCTGGCCAGAGTACTTATGGAGTTATTGCCCTTTGTTACTTTTCCATTGCGTTTTGCTTGTCCAGAGCATTACTTAAAAACTACTTGTTGCAAATCAATACAATTTCATACAATTTCGTATATTAAGAGAAAGCGCAGTGCACAGAAACAATAACTCTTTTTTTATTCATTTAAGAGTTTTTGCCATTTGTTTCTTTTTATTGACCAGTGCATTACTTGAAAATTTATTGTTGGAATTCAAAGAAACTTCATACAAAGGTCATGGCAGTGAGATGAAGTACAGTACACAAGAACCATAACTCCATCTTCAGTATTTGTAGGGTTAATGCCCTTTGTTCCTTTTCATTGTCAGGTGCATAACATAAACACTAATGTTTAGAATTCAATGAAACTTTATTCAATGGTCAAGCGCAGTGAGAGGAAGTGCGGTACTCGAGAAGCGTAACTCTTTTTGGACTTATTACAGAGTTATTCCAATGGTCAACCACATTGAAAAGAAATGCAACATACAAGAACCATAACTGTCTTTAATTGCCCACAACCATAATTCTATTTCAGTTATTTTGCAAGGTATTCTGTTATTAGTAACTTCCTGATGTCCGAAGCAATCTTGCGGGGTATTAATCACATTTAGTGATAGTTCTAGTTTACATTAAGATGAATGGAAATTACTGATTAGATGATTTCCTGACTTATTCAGCTGTTAATTTAAATATCTGTTATTAGGGAGTATTAGTACAGACAGTATATGTGGTTATTACACTTCAAGCAGTAAAGAACAATTTGAAGACTGGACAGGAAAGAACAAACAATCAGCTGAAATGGTGTGTATAGTTCAGTTTTTCGTTTCTTTAAAATTACTCATAACTTGCTAAGTTCTTAACAGGGTGAGAAAAAAAGCAGCTTGACCGGGATTTGAACCCGGGACCCTCGGAATATGATACACCAGAACAACATAGCTATTGGTGGAATATTTTGTGACTGCTTTGTAAAAAGTAGTTGTATATAGACTTCTTACCCTAGGTATGTATTTGTCATTATGTCTACCAAAACTTTTATGTCTCCAAAATGTTTGGGAGACATATTGTTTTTGCCCTTGCCGTCTGTCTGTCGTTCTGTCTGTCCGCTCTCACGGGACAGTAATAACGTGGCTAGAGGGACAACAGGTAACTGTTCTTTCTCTTTGATGTCATTCATTTCGTAATGCTTTTATGTGGTTTTCTTTTGTATGGCTAAAAAGAACAATAGAGAGAACAATGGAGTAGCCACATTATTACTGTCCTATTAGAACGTGCGTCCGTCCGTCCAACCGTCCGGTCGACCGTTCATTGTCCATCCATCCGCAATAAGCGTGTTCAAACTACTGGTGGGATTTCAACCAAACTTTACAGGAGTGATCAGTAACTTCCCTAGTTGTGCACATCACCGACACGTTCCGCTTCGCTGCACAAAATGGCCGCCAGAGCATCATTTCTAAAATTGTAATGATAAGATCATTTTCAAATTTTGTCCTAAGCAATGGCTGTGGCGGCGATGTGATTTTACGTATATTTACATATCAATAAGGACGTAACAACGAAAAACGGGCCGCGGGCGCTGAGTTGTCATGGTCGTTTCACTGGAGCTAGGGCTCTGAGCCTTACATTTCTGAACAAGGGGACCATTTACACTTGTACAAAATAGAATCATCAACGGAATCAGACGAATGGTGTTGAAGCAATGGCTGTGATGTGTGTTTACGTACATTTACATACATTGTATTAATATGGACGTAACAACGAAAATTGGGCCGCACGCGCGGAGTTCTCACGGTCGTTACACTGGAGCTACGGCTTTGAGCCTTACATTTTTTTTAATTTGATTGTCATTTATTAACTATTTGTCTTATTTTGGTACATATTATATACCTATCCTTTTCACGTGTTTTGCGACAAGATATAAATTCATACAATATTGGAACAATATTGCAAAGACTTGCACAACAATATGCAAAGTGAATACATTTGTAAATTAAAATGGAAACCTTTAAGCCCGCCTAACATGTCAAAATTGAACATATTGCAGACCATGTTTGACTGAACCCGTTCAAAAGAAATGCACGAAAGAAGTAACTGAAAGGACCGTACTATCTTGATCTATTTATATTGCAATTCATCATTACAGTATACAGCACAATCAGTTTGTTATTCTATTGTTTCAATTTTATGGTAGTTTTTTACTCACATTTCATGAAGTTTAAAAACATTCAAAGCTTTACCAGCATTTCTAATGAATCACCTTACACTCATAAAAACAGACTGAATAATAAATCAACGCTAATACACATTGACTGGAACAAAAACGCATATTATGAGAATTTTTGTTTTTCTTTACTTAAAACGAGCAAAAGATTACATGTGAGATTAAAGCATTTTATCAAAAGTATCAATGTAAAGTTATATATACGTATTTCCAATGATAATTAGAGCTGTAACAGATGTGTTTATCACTTAAAAGTCACACATGAGAAAAACATGTTGAACAATGTAACAAAATGTTTAATATATTTAAGAAGAAATGCATAGGTAAAAATAATGTGTTATTTCCCCATATCTCGAAACATGCGATGGGAATTATAATTTCAATTAACAGTTTTGTTCGTAGTATATAACAACAAAAAAACGCAACGTAAACAATTTTTACACATCAAGTTATGTTCTTTAAATTTTGCCTGGAATGAAGAGGAATTGTTTGGTGTTCTTTCGTGGAATGTAGGTCGGAGGGAGTGTAAGATACATAATCTATTTAGTATTAAAGTTGGTGAAATTAAAAAAAAAAATGGTTCTCTTTAAAGCAGCTGACCTCCAGAAGATAGCAGAAAAACTGCCGTCTTGCTAATATTTCAAAATCCCCCCTCAAAAACATTATATTGTTGAAAGAAAACGAAATGACACTTTAAAATGTTCATATCTGAAAATAATTGCTCTGAAAACAAACGGTTCGCTTTTCCACCAGAGGGAAATACCTTCTTTTATTATACCACGGAATTCTTTCATCCGGATTTTTTCTAGTATCACGTGATCGTACAGGACAAAATCGCGACCTGTGCTCCGGAACGCATGGAATCCGGGATTTTATCAAACATATAGGGATACCAATAATTGCTTTTGTTTTTATATTTGTAGTAATTCATGACCCTAAAAATTATAATTGATTAATTATTTCATATATACGATGACCAATTTATCGATTTAACCTTTAGCTTGAAATGTGATAGGGGCCTACTCAATGACAGAAATTGATAAACGATCCCGGGCATACCGGATACCGGGATTTTACCGGACCATTGCTGTGACACGTGACCGCGTTAAATGAATTATCTTCTCCTTTTTATATTGGCTACAGCGTCAGTAACGTAGTAGATTATGGAAAAGGAAAACCCGATATATTAACACTTTTGTCAACATTCTTTCTTGAATTAAGGTGTCAGTGATAATGTATTTACACCATAAACCCAACTAGATCAGTATTTACTGTTTACTTGAAATTTTATTTCATTTTTTTTTCCATTTTACCATCTGTAGGTTAGTGGCTTTAAGCAACTTGAGACGGATCAGCAAAAGTTGAACCTCTTGTTAAAGAAATTATTCAATGCACCAGATGTCCAGACCAAAATAGAAAAGCTAGCCTCGGAATGGATGAATGTAAGAGAAGAGCTCAGCATTATGTTGTTTATTAAATGGCGCGCCGTAAAAAGAAGGAAATCCAAATTGCTGTCGAAGAGGAGACCGAATGCTAACACTTTTGACAAGTTTAAAGCGGCCATGATAGAATTCCGAAAAGACTTAACCAAATGGGCCGACGATGTACGGAGATCGCAAACCAATAATCATGATGTTGTTGAAATATGCAGACAAAAGAAAAAAGAGGACGAAACTAAAAGACAATTGATAGGCGTTGATATTTCGCAGACAATGGGAACAATTAATTCTTTAAGACTGGAGATTGAGGCATGCTACAACGACGCCAACTCTAAGGAAAGCGATGCAAGACAGCTGAAAAGAAACGCTGAAGAATCACATGAAATGTCAACTAAGCATGCAATGGTAGCAACTGTAGGAAGCGGCATTGGACTTCTGACCGGATTGGCATTAGCACCTTTTACAGGTATCAGATATAAACGAAATTAGATTTAAATTTTATAACATTTCATCAACTGCTATGAAATTAGTTTTGTCCCATAACCACAAAAATTGTTTATCGATGAATTTTTGTTTTGTCTTATTTTATATATATATATATATATATATATATATATATAATAGAATTACACAAAAATATATTAACTTTAAAACGCACGGGTATTTCGTCACAATTGATTATAAAAGGATACAACCTAGGTAGTGTTTCAGTAATTTAGCATACAAGGACCAAACAAGATATATTTTCTTCAGGAGGATCAAGCATTGCTTTTGCATTAGGAGCTGCAGGAGCGAACACCGTTGTTCACGGCACAGCAGCTTGTTTGCATGAAAGCAGTGCAAATAGCAGCGAAATATCAGCAAAAAGGAAACATGAACAGGCGCGCGATCTTCGGATGCAAATAGGAGAACATGAAAGTGATATTTATAGAAAAGAATGGGAAGTGACAGAGTTGAAAAACCGTGAAGGTAAACTATTCACTATTACTGATATTTTCTTCGTTGTTTTCGTTATTTTATTTCTATTTTACCTTTTTATTTTTATAAACTCCTCTTTGCGAATGTACACATGAAAAGCATACACAAATTGCAGAAGACACTTTATAAGCAATTATTTATTTGCATCATTTACAGTACATCTTCCAAAAGTAAGATTTAACGTAAATATAATCTCTCCGGGGCAATACCTGTCAACAACAAACAATGTCTTTTCTTTCCTGATGGCAATGCTCTGTATTTGTTTTTCTTAAAGGCACATTGTGTCTCATCAATTTATATATTTAATTCAAAAAATGTATTTATCAATAGACTAAGAACATGTTAGATATTTAACAACTTAAAAAAGGAGCGCTGAACATATAGATATTTTATATATAATATTATATGTATATAATTATGGTAAATTGAATATTTTTTAATGTTATTGACTTGATGATGATAGGTAAAGACAGTTTTTCCAAGGAGAGATGATGGACTTAGTCTAGTTTTAGTAATCTGGAATTCTGAGTGCTAATTTTTAAATATTCAGTTTTTGCAAAATGTGTATGCATAAAGTTTACAGAGACCATTACGTTTAAAGACCTCAAGGCGGTCATTGACCCAGTTTGCATAAGGAAAATGGTCAATCAAATACTTTTTCGTCACTATAGACGTATTCTATCGATATTTGTGGGTGGTTCCGTTGAAGAATGAATAACACAATTCTGCAAAAGACGTCAACGATAAGAAATGAGAACGGATCCTGAAGCAAATGGTAAAACAGATAGGTGAAATAATTTCTCGATAACAAGACATTTATCACTACGTCAATAGGTATATTTCTAAAGCAGCACTTGGAAGCTGTTGTCACGTATCAATACCATGACTTTTTAACAGACATAGTGAACAACTATAACTCAAGACTGCATTTATCTTTGAATGTGACATCATCCAGCGGAATTACTGCAAAAATGAATCTATCATTTGTTGATTCTTTGAAACCATCGGCTTTTCTTAGCATAAAGTTAGTTTCATGGAGTTTGACATTTTTCAAGAGTTCACATCATTTTCTATTATAACAAACGGTTAAAATATTATTGATTACACAAGGTCCTCTATACACTTCGGCAGGCTATAACATCTCACCATGAACACATTTAATAAAGAAAAAGTAACAGCATGTCTCTGCTATTTATATAGTTTTGTGGATGACATATTAGTGGTTGAGGTACTCGAATCAATTGATGGAAACGAATTCCAAAACCAACAAAAACAAAGGGTTGTTTTATCTTTTTAATGGTGTATCGAACCCATTGTTTGTCTTCACTCGTTGTGCTCCATTCGGAAAACTGCAAGGTGTTCACTAAGTAAATCAGAGGTAGCACTTAATGCTGTAACACGCTAGTCCATCATGTGCTATTCTGTCTCCTGTGAGACGACTTAAATTTCTAATCATGTAAGCTTAAGAAAAGACTGGGAGAGAAACGTGGTAAGGCTTACTTGTTTGTAGGATATATTTCATATTTTTCTAAACCAAATATATTTATTTAAATTATTTTTTATTGTTTCTTTCTAAGATCTTGAAATTTAAGGAATCTGCACAGAAAAATCGATGCCATCTTCATTTACTATGTGTTTAAACTGCCTGTTGTAGCTTACACGGCCTTGATTATGCCTTTCCGCGTCTGTGACTGGATGTAACGCAGCGGCAAGTATTAGCCAAATAAAGCATTTTGATTGTTATTTTTAATACGAGTAGAATCTACCGCTTTTTGTGTTTTGGGGCTCTTTTATGTTTTCTCGGGAAGAGGAAGGTAACATCATTTCTCTAACGGTACGGACTCTGGTATACATACTCAAGCTTAATGATTTTATCAATAGATCAACCGCTCGTGTTCCTCTAAATTTCTGATAACAAATATATATATATATATATATATATATATATATATATATATATATATATATATATATATATATATATATATATATATATATATCTTGAAAAGCTCCTGCAATTGCAAGTATTTATTTCAGCAAAGGTTTCAGATCGGAAATATGATTTTAGCATAAACAGTTTAATTATTTGTATTATACGAGGTATACTCGAAAAGTTTTCGGTCCGATATACTTCAAGCCACTACACTGACATTTACACACAATACGTCGGTACCGATATCTTATTGAAGATTACTGACCGATTTACACGCGGTTTTACACAGGTGAAGTAGTATAAAACACACTTTGATCAGTAGAGGGATGTGCCATTTATACCAAATCGAGAAAGTTGAAATCAGAGACGTCATTAAATACCTCTGTAAAAAAGGGATGTGCACCAAGGAAATCCATGACGACTTCATAGATACACTTGGGAAGAAGTCCCCTTCCTATAGCACTGTGACAAAATAGGCTGCTAAATTTAAGAGAGGCAGGGAGAGCATTGGAGATGATGGGCGGCCTGGGCGGCCAAAAGAGGCCATCAATGATGAAACTGCCGAAGCTGTGCACGATCTGTTCATGTGCGACAGAAGGTGAGACCTGCGAAGCTTTGCTAGGGAAGTGGGTATAAGCTTTGGTTCAGTTCAGGCAATTCTGACTGATGCCTATGGCATGTTAAAGGTTTCCGCTAGATGGGTCCCCATACAGTTGACTAACTACCAGAAACGGACCAGGCTTGACAATTCAAGATATATTTTGTCTCGATAGGAGGATGAACATGATTTTATCTACCGGATCGTTACTCAGAATGAAACATGGGTCCAGAATAAGAAAAACAGAGCATGTAGTGGAAACACTCTGGAACACCCCCTCCGAAGAAATTCAAGAGGGTGTCATCAGCAGAGAAGATGATGGCTTCGATTTTTTTGGGATAGTAAGGGGACAATCATGATTGACTCTCTTGAGCAAGGTCGTACCATAGACGGTACGTACTATGCAGACGAATTAAGACGTCTGCGTCAAGAAATCTCGCATAAAAGGAGTGGAAAACTGACTCAAGGCGTTCTGCTTCTGCACGACAATGCACCAGCTCACACATCCCAAGTTGTGATGGCTGCTGCAACTGACTGAGCCTTTGAACTTTTTCCCCCAGCACCCATATTCTCCAGACTTAGCCCCCTCTGAAAACCAAGCTTCGTGGTAGACTTTTTGGAAGCCATGAAGGTGTCATGGAGGCGGAGGAGTTCTTTGAGGACCAACATAGAGTGTTCTATTTTGAAGGGTTAAACAAGTTGGAGCACAGGTGGGCAAAGTGCATTGGTGTAGAGAGCAATTATATTGAAAAGTAGACCATTAGTTGGGTTCTCTGACTACCGGAAGTACGCCGGGCCAAGAAATTTTTGATAAATCCTCGTATTTAACAAATTTAATAAACAAAGAGTATAACAAACCATTCCATACCTCGTTTCAGTCTGTTGACATGAAATATATTCAATAGATACTTGAGAGACTTTGTAAAACTGTTATAACAGACAAATTATGTGGCGAAAGGTCTTTGTGTTACCGTATTGTACATGTTGATTTTTATTCTGTTCCAGTGTTGACGTCTTTCAACATAACTGTCATATTCATCAGTCCTTTAACTGGTTTCATGCAAAACCCATTGTCGATACATGATTTTCAAAATGACATTCCCGTCAACGAAACCTTTTGTGAACATCAGTTGCAAAGTTTCTCTAAACTTTGTGATAGCAAAATAGTTATAAGATCGGTCGGAAACCTCTTTCTTCATTCTCCAGTGCAACACTTGTCTTCTTGCTATTCTTGCTAGAATAAAAAAGCGCTGTTTTATTAGCGATGAATGTAAAATTACTGTTTCTGTTATTGTGCGTTCTGTAGCTTTATAGGACATGCTCAAACTTGTAGATGACTCGGTCTCCGCTGTATAATATGATACATGTTCCATTTTTATTAAGTAATTGTAATATTTGACGTTTGCAAACTGTCAACCTTAAAGTTGTGGTGTATGGAAAAACGAGCGAACGGCATTTTCGAAAATATCCGAAAGTTAGAGCATTTGAATGGTTTTCTATAAATCGTCGTGTTCACTGCGTTAGAAAATTTTATTTTTCGTTTTTCGAAAATATGCAACTTAAATGCATTACAAAACAAAAACATAAATAATACTTACAATTAGCCGTTTGTGTCGGCCTTCCACTCGATCTCGGAAATGCCGTCCGCTCGTTTTTCTGTACACCACAATGTTGATGTGGAGCGACAGTTTGTCGAACGTGTTATACCGTATATAGTATTTATAAGTGTCATTATAGAGAATATCTTTTATTTACGAAATCATTAAAACTTAAAATTTGTATAAACTAAATTGGCGGGCCGGTGAAAAATTTAACTGAAGACTGTTGCTTTATTCCAATAATTGATAATGAAATTAACATAATACATTGAAAATATACTGTATTTTTGATTATTAACAATAATACGAAAATAACTTAACACATCATAACCTAAAAAAGTAAGTAACGAAACCCAATAAATAAAATGGATTATCAGACGTTTAAATATAGCACATCTAAATGAAGCATGTAAAACCCAGCTTAAATTTAGCACTTAGTGATGTTCCAGATTTCTAAAAACAGAATCGGTCGCTCATCCCTCACTTGGGCAGAAGTGACATTTACCTACTATCATCGTCACTTTATGTATCATGCAGATGACCTTGAAGAAACAATAAGTATCATTCGTGATGTTGAATCTATATTCTACAAGTTTATTGACTACATAGAGGAGCGATTAATCAACATCCAGGTAAGAAACATTATCTGTTTTACTTTATTGCACATTATATATGTTTTGCAATATCTATTGAAGATTGCGCTGTGTCGTAAAGTCCAGGTTTAGAGTATGAGTGTCCCAATTTAAATAGATATATCTTTGAAATATCATTTTGGTTATTATGTTCTTGAATTTTTAAAGAAATAGTTTGTTTCGATACAATTGATTTATAAATATATGATAACTTTGATTTAAAAATGATTTGTAAATTCATTTAATACTATTATGTATTGGTAGTTGCAAGTACAATATTTGTGAATAATTCAACATTATTTTGAGTCCTGTAAATAATAAAAACCATTAAACGTTCCATTGTTAAGCAATGATAGAAATGCTTTCAGAATGTTGAAACGGTGTTACGTGAGATAGAGCTCAATGGAAATATGCTAAGTATCATTCTTTGTGCATGGGAAAGGGATCGAAAAAAAGGATTTTTTCGAAAACTGTTTGGTTGGAAACCCAAGTATTTGAATGAAGAAGAAGAAGATTTGAAATTGAAAATAAAGGTTGTATATTTAAAGTAAATGAAATGTTTTATATTCTCACCTTGAGACTAATTCTCAAATACCAATTTAACGAGACGGCATCCATACAATTACTATATATAATCAATGAAAATCGCTAATGTACGTATTGCCTGTGAATTAATTTAGCTGCGAATTAGCCGAGTAAACTAGATATAATCAATAAAATCGCTAATATACGTATTGCCTGTGAATTAATTCAGCTCCGAATTAGCCGAGTCTTATACGCAAGCTTTACTGCGGAATGACACGATTTATTTTGCGAGTCGTCAATACATTTCGGAGCCCATTTTAAGTTTCTTCCTTTGTTATTTTTACTGTTGTATAAACATTCGACAATGTTGTCATATCTCCGTATACAAATAATGGACTGTATAGCTGTCCGATTTCATGTAATGAAATGATGCCAGCACTATTAAGTGTTGAGAATTTAGTACAGCTCAAGCCGGTGCTAGGAGGCGTGAGGGATTTTGCACTTATTAATTATCCCTCATGTACAGACTCAATCAAACCGAGTCTTCAATTTTCAAGTAATTTTGTTGTGATTAATGATTCCGGGGGATCACTTTGTTTCCTAAGTTTCTTAATATCGTGGAATCAGGCTAAACTTAAATCATGCGTAAACGCGTTGTCTTTGTCTGAAGAGGCATTGTTTTGTATCGTAGAATCTATCCATTTGTTTACCTAGTTTTGAAAGTCATTTTGAGGAAAGTTAAATATTATATCTTTTTAAGTTTTGTATATTTCTTTTATAATGAGTTGGATAGTGATATGCAGACATTGTTCTGATTTCCAAAATTTTCTATAATAAAGCCTAAGCACAATTTTTGGTAAGCTTCCCTAATGCATGGACTGTCACACTATAAGACGGGAACTGATATAGAAGTTCATCTACATAGAACGTATTAAGGGCTAGTAAGGTGTAGGGAAATCTAATTTAATCATCTAATTTCATCCTTCATATAAATTCATGAAAGGGCCCACAGAGGTTTTATAGTCATTTCCTGTTTTTAGCTTTAGATATTATGGAGACGACATTACGTTCCGGGCAAGGTACATAATAATGTCCTCGATGTTATTACGGAGTACAAAAGTTTATTTTCATGTCAAAATGTAAAGCTATACATGAACATGACAGGAAACAATTCTCTGTTCAAAAGGAGAATAAAATAAATAATTACATTACATACAACATGTACAAAGATGATATATCAAAATATCAAGGAACGTACAAGCACCAAACATTGAAAAAATTTAATCTTTACCTCTTAAATACAATTAAAACATATTTTACTTAACTGATAACACCTAAATAATCCACTGACATCTTATTTCCAAGTTACCATTTTGGCAAAAGCTATTGCATCGTTTTAAATAAAAAAAAATCGTGATTTTTGTGTTGACGTTATCAGCATTGTTTTCCCATTTAGATAAAAAATGGCGTTACGTTTCGTCTTTAGTCGCGTCAAACGTTAACGTTAAATTTGGTAACAAATATTAATGAATAAGAAAACGATGTTATGTCGATTAAGTAGACGTACAAAAAAGAGGTAAATGTTTATATAAAAATAAAAATACAAGTACAATGTATTACAAGTTAGATCACATGTTTTTCAAAGAAGAATTTAATACTTTGTTTATTTTACAAACTTATCATTTGTTGATGTGTAATGCGGGCAATAGATCAATTCTTAAATCAACTAACTAACACTATTCAGAATATCCTGCAAATATTTCCTATTGTTATTCTACAGTGGTTTATTACAGTATTTAGCAAATGTCTAAATTAACTATGTTTGCGTTGCTCCAGTCTGCTGATTTATTTATTGTCTGCTCTGTAACGGTTAATGTACCCAAAAGATGTGCATTACTAATTTTATCAAGCGACATTTTTGTCTTTTGTGGCTTAATGGTTGATGTCGGTAATTAATTGGTATTTTTAACCCTTTTGTTCTCTGCAATTATTCACTTGCTGAAACGTTTGCCTTGTTTGTTACTCACAAACTGATGTTGACCAGCTTCCGATGTATGTAGTAAATTAGGTGTGAGTATTATTTTGTCTCATCCAGGCTAATGGGATTAAGTGTTTGACCCGCTTAAACGATTACAATAAAACAACTTGTTTATATTCCAGCCGAAAATATTGAAGTATCATTTATTTTCCCGATAGAAATGCTAAAGTGATCATATGTTTCCATAACGGGTTGTTCCCTTGTGATAAATACACCTCATAAACCGTGATAATCAGACTGTTACTCTGCAGACATCTACGTTTGAAGGTTTTTAACAAACAAAGATATGGTCCATCTTTAATTGTAATACCATTTATTCTGTAAATTATCCCATTTGCATACATAAAAAATAAAAATGTTTTGTTTGTAGCTATAAAAGGTTTAAAATGATTCTGTTTCTATTCACTGTAATTAAACCATTGTTAATGAATGGGATGTTAAAGGACTGGAACAATTAGCTATATTAATGTCGGAATCAAGGCTGTGAAAGCTTCATCTAATAAATTTCATAAGAACAGAAACAGCGTATTTCATTAATGAATTAGGTTTCATATCGACTCCAGATCCTATGTTTTGTGTTAAAACAACCCCAATGAGTTTTATAAGAACATAAATCTGCAGCCTCATTGTGGCCAAATCGGAAATACAATTTCTGTTTGCATGAGATATTTTGCCTTCAGGTTATCCGTACATCAATTAAGAAATAATATCGGTCTTAGTGGTGTTTATCGGCTATTTAACACCGCTTTGGAGTTTTGATGCGTACGAATTGACCACGAAGGCCGTAGGCATCAAAACGACTGTTCGATTTTCGCTGTTCGATTTGCGCACCCTACTTTTGCTAAGATATAGAAAATATTAAACAAAAGAAATAATAAGAAAACAAGAATGCATTTGTGAAAAAATGCTATGCCACCGCATTAATATAACAGAAGTAGATTTTTTTGTTACTATACAATTGAACTTTGCCATAATGCAGTAGTGTCTAGTGAATTGGGGGTCAAGGTCATATTTCAGCATGTCAAATGAATGACAAATGAGCAGATGTGTCTACTGTTAAGATACAAAGGCCATAGTGCAATAATTCATTCAAAAATAAAGTAATTTTACTTGAAAACTTTTAGGTATTTACTGAATTACATAGCTGTATTAAACTTTGAAATGCAGGTACATTTACTTTTTCCTAAATATTATCTTTTCAATTAAGCATTACCAAATTCTAAAAACATAATCATGTCCTTATAATATGCTCAAATTGTTTCATTTACTAACTCTACAAAGCTCACAACTATCTTGCTAGAGTTTATGACCTGAATCATTTCATAAATATTTCTGAAAACATGACCTTTAGACTTACTCCCAGCTATTGAATACTTTACATAAAAATGCATAACATGTATCACAAATTCAAATGAAAGTTGTTTCCTTTCACACAAAAAGATTTTTTTACTATATGTACATAATGAAAATCAATGACCCTGAGGTGGGGTCAATTTTGACCTCAATGCTATAAATTGAACAATCTTGGTAGAGGTCCACTATACTATACTTCATGCCAAATATCTAACCTCTAGCCTTTGTTAACTCAGAGAAGGAGATTTTTTAAGATTTTACAATATACATATATGGAAAACCTATAACCATCCCCCACCCCGGGTTCGGGCCAATTTTGACAGTAGAGGCAAAATTTAAAGAACTTTGGTAGAGAACCTATCTAGATGATATCATATACCAAAGCTCCAAGCCTTGTAACTTCACACAAGGAGACTTTTTAATTTTTTATTATATGTGCATAGTGAAAAATCAATGACTCCTATATATTGAGAAATAACTGACATTAACTGGATTTTCTCAATTTAATGTAGTGCCTACCGGTTTCTATAATCATCAGGGCAAATAAACATAAAACCATAGTTACAACGTCATTTGACGTTATTGATTATTTTATTGATGTGTTTAAACCATAACTAAACAAAAATTGAAGACATCAACATTTTTTTACGTTGCGTACACATGAGTACATAAATAAAGCATTGTACCTTCAGATAAGAAGATTTTTAGTTTTTACTATATGTACATAGTGAAAATCAATGACCCCAGGGTGGCTCCAATTTTGACCCCAGGGCTTTAATTTGAACAATCTTGGTAAAGATGTACCAGACAGTGTCTTATGTAAAATATCTAAACTCTAGGCCATGTGGGTCTTTACAAGAATTTTTTTTTAATTTATTCTTATCATTCAATTTGGTTGCCATGGCAACCAGATTTCTGCATGGAATCAAATTCTTTGCATAACTTTGGAAGGCCTTCACCCAAGGAACAAGCCTGCCAAGTTTGGTTGCAATTGGACTAGTGGTTTTTCACAAGAATATTTTTTAAGTTCACTATATAATCTATAACACACACACACACACACACACACGCACACACACACGCACGCACAAACACAGGTAAATCGCTATATGCCATCGCAGATACTGCGGTGGCATAAAACGTTATTTTATCAAGTTTTGAACAATAAAAACTTACTGTATTGTGTTTACATTTATCATTCTTGTATGTATGAAATAACGTCAGCGTTTATGAATGGGTTGTATACTTAGGATGCCGTCATTACGCTGCTTACGGATTAGCGCCGTTTTGTCAAAATGAGCATGGTTATAAGTCCTAATTTAACGGTTAATGTCCACATTGTAACGGATATTTTCATACAAATTTAAACCTTTTTATGAGTCGATTACTTTTCTGAACGCCAGCCTAAGGCACCGCGAATAACGTATAAGTGTGTTTGCACAAGAAAATCTCATATTTGCTGTTTTCCGAATAACAACTATAATACTGTGACGTATAGTAGCCCTTGCACTAGCTGAATATAGGCCCGTATTCAGAATGGATACTTACACTCACACTCAGTGAATAAATCCTATATAATTGCCTAACGGTCAAGACAGTCCTCACCTTTCAGTAAAGTGGTATTCAGGTTATAAAGTAAGTGTCGAGAGAACTCAGGAAAGTTGAGAATCTGTGAGATTAGGAGGGGGCTACCTTGAGGTAACCTCAATAAAATAATACTGAATACCACTTAGTTTTGAGTATTGATTTTGAATGAATTTCGTCCCATATACATTTAGTGCATGAAATACGCGAACTGACAGTTTTTTAGAAAATAAATTTTGAAAAACAGATAGAGATGATTTATGTCAGAAGTTGAACTTCATCAAAACTTTTGATTTTCAAAGGGGTGAACCCAGTGTGATACAAGTAGTATGAACTTTTAAGAGTGTATTCAGCCCACGGAATACCAGTACTGATGTCAAAAAGAAATGAATTTATATGATTTCAAATTGGAAATTTCTTGAATTTCCTTTTATCAATGAAAATGGCTGTTCCTGTGATTCTGGCATTAAGTCTTCGGATGATGTGTCGTATGCGTCTAATTATAGGCATATGTATAACAGTTAGATACAAGTTATATCACACTGTTGACATAGAATTCCCAATCTATATATTTGAAGATATTTCAAAGGAAACAGTGATATTATGCAATAAAACCGATCGGTAAACTTTTAAAGTCTCTCTCACGAGAGGTAAGGTTGAGTAAACAAAACAAATACCACTTTTCACATTGTGAGTTACTTACCATAAGTTTACTCCAGCGTTACTTGAGGCGACCTGTCGTGAGTTTGAGTCGAGATTGAGATTACGTATCGTTTCTGAATACGGGCCATAGTCTCAATTTGCATGTTTAAGTTCGTATACGAACTGTAGTGTTACCGTGGGGTTTTACGTTAAAAATCGTAATTTATGAACTATCTCGTATTTGATAAGATTTACAACAGTACTGTTTAAAAGGTTATTGAAACTGTAGAATGCTTGGTTTTTAGGCCGACGGCAAGATATTTTTACATATTTATCTAATGCAGCTTTAAAACCATACTGGAGCTACATACTTGATCTACTTCAGGACCTTCCTATTTCACGAATAGGTGGTAAACCATCATTGCTATTACCATGTTATAAGAACAAAAGTGGACAAGAATTAGGATCAGACTAAGATCAATAAACATTACTTTATTTCGGATCAAGCGCTGTGATACCTTTAAATTACTCTCTTGTGGAAAATACTGTTACCCGAGGCGTACCCGAACAAAAATACTGTGATGATCTGAAATTGTCCACTAAATATAACTGTAAATAAACCAAGAGTAACAATAACTAAACTGTCCTTACCTTTCAAGTTTTAAGTGAACTTAAGGCCTACTTGAGAAGTTTTCTTTTTCTTTTATTCTTTAAGCAAGTGAGGCTATCAACTAGTCATATAAACATATAATAAGCTGTGTTTATTTAGAAAACAAAACACTAACCCATTTATACGGTTATGATCTGTGAAATCTGATCCTTCTGTTTCCAGTATATTCTTCCCCTGTTCACATGGTTTTTGACAATATAACGATGATATCCTATGCCTGTCCACCATATCTGTAACGTTTCATTGATTAAAATTGTTAAATAATCCTTTGTTGCATGCTTAAATCGTCTGCATGTTCCATTTTGACACATAATTATTTACATTGCAATTACTTCCGTTGAAAACGGATGTTTAATTTTTGACTATTCAACAAAAAGATATTTTATACGCGAAAAGCACACCTAAATTTTATGGGTGTCATAGTTACTCCAGAGAAAGAGAAGATGGTGATGTTATATCGTGGTGAACGTCGAAAATAAGAATGAATAGAGAAGAAAATGGCGGACACTTTTATTTCATATTATTTAGAAAATATACCACGTGACCAGATTTTATACTGTTAAAAAGTACTGTTACCTATGTAACAGTACAAAATTCTTAGTCACGTGGTACACTTGCATTAATAGTAAGAATAACTCCAAGAGGCCTATGGAAAATTAACATTACGAAACAAGTGAGGGGTAATAAGAACAAAATTTAATAACACCTTGTTATCCCGCAACCAGTACAGCTTATGATCTATGAAATTTGATAAACTGTTATTTAATGTTTAAAATGCATGTGATGTCCTGACATATATGGACTTTTTTCTGCCAAACAAAAACGGTACATCAATTTTCCGTATAAAATGAAAATAAAAATACATGATTAAGCAAACATACCTTTTATCACCATATTCCTAACTTCTCAATTGATATCCACAATTTCAAACACTTAAGTTTTTTATTCTCGACAACAGTAAAATGCAGGTTTATGTAATGTTCCTTACTTCTAAATTGACATCCACAATATTAAACACTTCAAGTATGTTGCTTTAAAGCTATAACAAGTAATGCATTCTTCTTATTCTTGAAAAACGTAAGACACATATTCACAACTTCAATACACATTTTGACCGTAGCTGCTTATGCTTCGTTTATGACCACTGGCTACTGATAGGTGCGTCTTCTCTGTGGGCCTCTTAATGACTTTATATGTGTAGGATGTAATTTCTATTTCCGCAACTGCGTAGATCTAAATAGATGTTCGTAAAGGTTGTATTTATTCGGCTCTTTTCAAGGTATACATTGCACAGCTGACCAGTCCTTCGCAGCCATTTTACGCGTGCGTAACACAACGCTCGTCATTATTTGTTACAGCAAGCGTTTAACGTTTAACAACTTGTAATAGGTTTTATTACTATAGGATGCATTATTTTCTTAAATTTTATGCGCGCTTTAGGAATGTGATTTCATATCCAAGATGATAAAATGTTTCGTTCAGTAGATGGCTAAATTTCGTTCTAGTGCTATTTTGTCTTTTTTATATTTATTTGTTGTGTTGACGGGCAACTTTCTCCGTCGCCCATCACAAGTGGCATGGTCAAATATTTCAGTTGACATTTTTAATTGCTCCTGTACTAACTGATTATATTTGAGCATAAATAGAGGATATTGAATGAGTGTAAGTTCAGCACTGAATTTATTGCACGAGTTGAAAAATTTATATTATGCTAGCCGTCACGTCAAAATAGTGCACGGCCGTGCAATACCATATTTACGGAGTCGCAAAATCGGCACGGGTGTATGATAAATCTGCTTACCTTACTACATTTGAATTTATTAGTACCATACATGAATGACTGTATGATTACATAATTTCATAATAATTGTCAATGTAAATAAATCTAAAGGGACACCATTTCAAGAGTTACATGTGTTTTTATTATGTTAAGTTTTGTCATTTTTGAGCCATTGTAAAATAGATATTAATTTTGCTTTCATTCGAAGGTACAAAATACTCGTAAAAGCTCCAATAAATAAGAGGAGAATTTAAAGCAACGAGTTTGCTTGTTTAATTTTGCTTTCCTTATCTTAGAATTTCAAAATGAATTGATTTAATGATATGTTTCTATTTGTTTTCTCACAGGAGAAATGGGAAATTGTTGAAAGAAGCATGTTACCTTCTGTCGAAATGCAAAGCGTGCCTGGAGCAATACATCTACAACTGATGTGAAGGAGAATGTTCTACATAATATGGATCAATTCATTTACATACAAATATGAAGACGTTAAAACTGATAAAGTTTTGAAATAAAAAAAAAAACGTTTTTTTTTTTTCATATTTTGTAACGATGAGTTGTATTACTAAAAACAAAGATTATCAACTAGAAAGTATGCAAGCCATTTGTCCCATATACGATAACATGTTTCTCTTTGAAAACTATTAAGTTTCAATGCCGTTTTCATAAAAGATATATTCCTTCTATACTTATGTGCACTGTTAATGCACACATAAAAATGGGCCGTCTTGGGCAATCTGTTAGGTCTGCATTTTTAATAATATACTGTTCAGGAATTTCAAGCCAAGTCAGCGTGTGGCACATTCCCGCTCTGCTGCTATACATTTAAACTTCACCAGACTATTAGCAAGGGGTTATTTATGAAGAAAGTATTGCGCTATCACACATGCACATGTTCACATAAATGTATGTAAGGCTAAAGCAATACACATCATAATTTAACAGAAAAAAAATGAATTGAAATAAAGTCTGAAATGTTAATTTATTTTTTGAGAGTTTTTAAAATGCATGACTACACTTAATAATCAAATTATTGAAACAGTTCAGAAGGGTAAATATAAAAGAGTTAATAAATAAAAGGGTAACTTTATCCTGGACATACATTTAAGGTAAAATATTTATCAAATGTTAAATGTAAGGATTCATATAACAATACATAACGCCTGGTAGATGTTGTTCTCTATTTACATCGTATATTTAACTTTTTTTTTAAAGTAAATGATGTTCGTCGTATCCCAATAAATTTCTTACCGCTGTCTTACTCCAAAAATCGTTGTGTTAAATGTTTATTTTTCGAGGAGATTGTGATTGTACATAATGTGATAAAAGAAATGCGGAATTACATAACTGATAGTATACATCATTTGAGACTTACTATCATGAATGGGCTATAGGGATCTTTATGTCAGTTTCCAGCAATAAACTGACCTCAAATAGGCTGTTCTTGGCGGACCTGTCTGTCCCTATAATGTTTGGAAGCTTTCAGATGTGTGTACAATGTCTTTTCATGCATTAATGTTTTAAAATGTTTTGTGTGTTTATACAGTATATATTTATATTGCCCGGCTATTACTAAGCATATTCAGCAAGTTTTTAAACAAAAATATACATACACACCAAGTGTGGTAGGTTTATTTGGTACAATCACAAAATATTTCTATTTATCTTGAACAGAATCAATACGTATAATACTATTTTGTCTATTTATTATCTAGCTACGAGGGGTTATCCAAAATTCGTGAACTTTTTAAATATCTTTTGAACGTCAACGTGTATTGTAATAATATTTTAACAGCATACATTGTAGAACACGTTTAGAAACGATCAGTTAACTGCGTCAATAAATGATGATTTAATATTGCTTTTAAATAAGCACATACACGGCACCCGGCGCACGGTAGAAAAGCGCAGTTAGTCATCGTATATTTTTGCTAAAAAACTACTTATTAACGTAGAAAATCCGCTTAACATCGCATATTTCTTCTATGATGTCATTTAAGTAATTTTTTTAAATTATGGACGTCATTTCTGTTAATTTCTGTTGAAATCATCAGAAACGCCAGACGACGATATTGTTTACAACGGGAAAATGACGGATACACAGAAATTAGAAAATAGCGTGATCATAAAATGTTGTTGTAATTTGGGAATGACATTAACAAAAACATTGGAAAAAAAACAGCAGGCGAATAGAAAAAATAAAATTGCACTATCATAAGTGTTTAAGTGACATGTAAAATTTAGTGATGGACATAACTTTGTGAAGCAGTAATGGTTATTGACTGCGTAAGGTTGTAGCATAAGTTGTACGTTAAATATGATGACGTTGACGTCAATAACTTTTTGGGGTGCACCGCTGTCGCAGACATATGTTATGATAAATTAAATATTATTGTAAAATAAGAATCTACTAACATTAAATTTTCTTTGTGTGTTTGTTATTTAGTAAGAATTTCAAATCAATATCTCGAATATATTTTACGCAACAAAGAAAGTCCACGAATTTTTTGATAACCCCTCGTATGTGATAATCATCTATTTTTTTCTTTTTCATTTTAAATTGTTGTATGTGATATTTCTAACAATTTTGATTTACAATGTACGAGGGTTGTTCAAAAAGTAATAGGACTGAGAGTCTTGCATATTCATATTTCATACAATTTAGAATATTTTTATATGTATGGTGATCGGAAAATGTTTTCTACAATTTATGCATAAGTTTTTTTTAATCGCGCGTTTCCTGTGATATTGAATAACCATGGTAACACGCACCCGGCGCAATACATCAAAATAGTTATTGAAGCTAAGTTGTACTTCTAATTTATTCATAATTTATACCCTGTTTGTCTATATATTCCACCAACACATCCATTTATATTTAAGTGACATTATATCTTAATTTGACATCATTCGGACATGAAATGGCATAATTATTTAGTTTTGACAAACAGAAATTCGCGCGAACATTAAACAAATTGGCAATATATTTTTTCATTTACATACACAATGATAGAATTAGGAAAGGAAAATTTTCCTGCCATCAGAACATTGTTTCGGCTGATACAATCAATTTAAAAACGGCGAAAATAAAATATCTAACAGGAAAGTCTGATGATTGACAGGACGTTAGAGACGTCAATTGCAAAAGCGCTGTAAATGGATCGACGGTAAACGGTACGCGGACTGTCCGGCACTTTTTATGTCTGCTTCGGGTCTACTTTTTCAGTTCTCACCAAAGGATTGTATATAAGACGTTTCTATCAAACACTATTGTATTGTTTCTCATTAGATAAACTTGGTTTTAATAAATTAAATATAATAATGATTAACGGTGATGATTAGTAGTGCCCCCACCATTTTATTTTAATAAATGATACTTTTCAATTGATAAATATAATTATTTTACTGTATATATAATCATATTGTTTTAAAAACGTACGATGACATACATGTGAAAATTAATAATACAAATCGCTTTTGCATTAGCATTTTAAGACCATGCTTCTTGAGTTCCTAGTTTACTTAATATAGTCGAGAATAGTGGAGAATGGCCAGCTATCGGGTATTTTTCTTGGAGAGTTGAACAAAATTGTGATCGCTTTCTTTCTCGCTTAATTTTCACACATGAGACCTGATCATGGTCACATGATTCAGACACTTAGAGCACTAGGGAGAAAACATCCAGGATGGATGACACTTGTTCAATTTTGCATTTATTTAATGACGTCATGGACGTCATTATTGTATTGTCAGCGTGGACCTGGTTTCGTACCCCTTGTCATTTGAAATTTTCACAGAACTGTTGTTTGTAAACATTTTGTATTGATTTTTTCACTGTATATAGAGAACATGTCCCGATATTTGTTTATTGTAATAGTATGTACGTAAATTAAAAATGTGAACAATAGAGCTGCAGTCCTATTACTTTTTGAACAACTCTCGTAAATATTCATGTCATGATATAATATTAATTGTGTTTATCAAATGTTAAACTTATATGTGTTTCAATTAAAAGTTGGTTTCTTGGTTGTGTTTCATTGTGTATTTAATGACTTTAGGCTATGTTCATACTTTTAATTCCATAAACACAATATATTGAAGGTAAATATTAACAAAATAACATAATTTCTAGCTTTGATAATTGGAAAGGTTTTTGTTCAATCCGTGAAGCGCGCAAATATTGCAGTTGCGTCTTGTGGTATGTTATTTAGTTTTGTTTCTAAATTTTTAAGGTAATGGCTTTCTAGACACAAATCAATATAAGTGATTTCCAAAGGAAATGAAATTTGAAAAAGCGCTTCTATGCCTTTAAACTGAAATGAATTCAAAACTAACTCATTGCATTGTGTTATGTTTCTGTAGACAAGAGCTGCGACCGATGAACAGGACCCTTTTGGTCCACTTAAAAGGCTACGGTCTTCACAATTGGAATGTGGCAAGTTTCTGGAAATATGTTATCTTCAACTAAAGGAACATTCTGTTGAGGCAGGAAAGGTAAATAGCGAATATTTATTCATTTAATTTATCTAATACATACACGAATATTAAAGAGTAAACTATTGAGAAAAGAAATCAGTTTAATTTCGTATGTGTTGCTAGAGGACGCAATTTCGTTTCAGCGGCCATTACAGTTGCAAGTAATTTCATAGAGGTCCCAACCTCCAAGTTATGTCTGCCTGTCATGGTAATACATGTACAGCATAAAAAGAAAACCGGAAGTAGGTACCGAGAATTAGTGACTCCGGTTATCAAAACTTTGTCTCTCTTCCCATGGCACCTGCAATGAATTATGTTTCTGATATATAACTCAATTCCATTTTATTCTAATTCGCATGAAAACAAGGCCTTCATTGGGCATGGCAGTGCCCAAATTCGTCATTGACTCGATCATATGGCATTCTGTATTATGCCATATAGATATTTCAATGAAACAAACTATTATGGAATTAACGTAAGGCAAAAAAGGTGCCTCCTTCGCGATATATTTTATTACCCTTTGAAAAAGATATGTTTAAATAACATTGATCCAGTCTCAACATGTTATAATTGTAAAGGTACGTGCAACAGCAAACGAAGCACGAATGCAACATGGAATGTGCTCTGGACTTATGAAGCAGTTCATGACAACAGCAGAATTTGTAGCAAATGAAATGATGCCGATGATGAAACAGGTCATCAAAAAGAGGGTAAAATATCTTTTGTTATCTGAGGTTCAAATAATATTAAATTTTATTAGCGCAATTTGATATTGATAATAAAATATCAACATATTTAGATGTGTTGCAAGGCAACTTTTATTTAATATGAAATACATGCACAACCATAATTGTGGTTGAATCATAAGTAGTTTACAAAAAGTATAATATAAAAAGAGAAATATTGTATTTTTGAATTACAGAAAAGTAAAATAATCAGAGACATGCTCGAACAAATATTAGAACAAGCAAGAGAAATGAAAAAAGAAGCTGAAAATGTCAGAGATAGGTAATTCAATTTTTTATAATGTTTAATACTCTGCTCCCTCTGACTGAAGTCCAACTCTTCTTTTGTATACAATGCTAGATCTGGTCGTCAGTAATTCTAGCCGATTTGGATTTCCGATACGTTTATTTTAGCTAACCCAACAAAAGATTATTTTACATTACACGTAAAGTCTGACAAGTCATCAGTTTTGCCTTAGAAATAATAACTTTAATAGATATTTTGAATAAAATTTCTGGGAAACATGCTACCATATGTTGGTATCTAACCGTTGATTCTAGTTATTTATCTAATAAAATAGAGAAAAACATAATCCCTAAAGAAAGCCCAACACGGCAAAATTGAAAATTGTTGCAGGCTCGGTTTGATTGATCATGTTCATGGACGGTACTGGAAAGTGCAAGTTACCGTCCACGACCCCTTGCACCGGCTTAAGCAGAATTCAACATTTAAACACAAAAATGATGAAATTTTGAATTTAGAAACATCCGCAGATGTGTTCATACGGCGGTTATCATAAGTGTCATTCCATGAAAACCGGCGTATGGTTCCCAAGTAATAGAATGCGTGTGCCCTAAACGAGAAAACAATGGGCGGTACTAATAAAATGGAAATTTGAAAGGGGGTCTGAGGTTATGAAGGCTGCATATCACAAACAATAAGCCATTGTTATTTGGGTGTATATTATCTAGAAAACGTGAAAATCGCGTACACTTTCCTGTTTTCCAGAAACTATGAACGCTAAAGCGGCCACTGATTGGCTGATTGAAAGGTCACAAGAAGGTGACCTCCTATCGAAACAGTCAGATCTACATGTTAACATAAGAAGATATGAACTTTTGTCCAATTTTGATCCATCGTTTATTTATATTTGACTGTATATGATCCTTTTTGGTAAGAGACTCTTAATGTTTTGGGCGTTAGTTAAGACCTAGTAACAAACAAGATGTAACAATATCAGATAGATAAAAATACAACAGGAGTGAAAGTGTAATGTTTATCATTCTTTTGATTGAACGTTTAGATACTGGGTCCTCTAGACGGAATTGTTTAAAATTGTACAAATAGCTCGGTATCTTACACTCAAAGAGCATAAAATCACGAAAATATCACCATTTAAAAATGTTTCTGGTAAATTTTCAATGAGCATAAAAAATATCCCAAAATTGCTACGTTTTCTAGATCGGTGACATACGGAATGGTAAAGCGGGACATCGGAATTATAAAAAAAAACAATTCTAACATTACTGCTGTACATTTGTATATAAGCATGAATCGAATCTATTAAGAAATGAAGAAAATTTAAAATATATCGAGAGAAAAAAATCTACTGAATTACCAAAGGTTTACCAAAGAATATTAACTAGAAGGATTTTTGTAACAAAAACACCTGTCTCCCAAAACTAGGTATGGTACTCATCACTCCTGTAAATGCGGTACACAAGTTGCCAGCAGTTTACTAGTAAAAGCCGGACAGGATTTTTATATTTAAAGCTCTGACACCGAAGCGGAACACGCCGTCGATATGCAAAACAAGGGATATTTGGTACTGATTATTCCTGTGAAGTTTCATTGAAATCCAACGAGGAGTTGGACATGTGAAAGCTCAGATTAGATATTTCTATTAATAGCTCTGGTGGCCATTTTGTGTAGCGAAGCGGAACGTATCGGCGATATGCACACTTTGGGATGTACTGATCAATCCTGTGAAGTTTTATTGAAATCCAACCATAAGTCTGGCCTGTGAAAGCCAGAGAAGATTTTTCTATTTACAGTTCTGGCAGTCATTTTGTGCAGCAAAGCCGAACGTGCCGCCAAATGCACAACTAGGGATGGTACTGATAACTCCTGTGCAGTTCCATTGAAATCCCAACAGCAGTTTGTGCAGCATTGTTGAACGTGCAGGCGATACGCGCAACTAGAGATGCTATTGATCACTCTTTGAAATTTCATTGAAATCCCGCCAACAGTTTAACCTGTGAAAGCCGGACAAGATTTTTCTAATTATTGCTCTGGCGGCCATTTTGTGCAGCGAAGCAGAACATTCCATCGATATGCATATCAAGAGATGCTACTGATCACTCTGTGAAATTTCAATGAAATCCCGCCAGCAATTGAACCTGTGAAAGCCCGAAAAGATTTTTAGCTCTCGTGGCTATTTTTTTGCAGCAAAGCAGACTATGACGACGATATGCACAACAAGGGATGGTACTGATCACTACTGTAAAAATTCAAAAAAATACCGCTAGCAATTTAGCCTGTGAAAGCCGGGCAATATTTTGTTTATTTTTAGCTCTGGTAGCAATTTTGTGCAACGAAGCTGGATATGCCGGCGATATGCACAACTGATCACTCCTGTGAAGTTTCATTGAAATCCCGCAAGCAGTTTGACCTGTGAAAGCCAAACATTTTTTTTAGTTTTTGCCCTGGTTGCCATTTTGTGCAGCGAAGTGGAACATGCTTAAGACATGCACAACTAGAAGTGGTACTCGCCACTCCTATTAAGATTTATCGAAATCCAACCAGCAGTTTGACCTGTGAAAGCCGGATAAGATTTCCCTGTTTAGCCCTGGCGGCCCTTTTGTGCAGCGAAGCGGAACATGCCGGCGATATTGAAATCTATGGATGGAACTGATCACTCCAGTTTCGTTGAAAACCTGCCATCAGTTTCACCTGTGGAAGTCAGACAAGCTAAATGCGGACTGACGGAAAGACGAAAACCCAGCAAAGGCAAACACAATATGTCTCCCAAAATGTTTAAAGGTTTAAAATGTTAAGCCAAAAGGTCGAAAGTATTATTCTTAATATTATTTGTGTTGACACTTTAAACTGGTTTGATTAAAAAGTACTTTTGTTTTTACTTGACCGCTCACGTAGTATAGCAGCAAAGCTATGTCTGCTTGTTACGATTTAATAAATCGCATGGGTTAGACTGTATAGTCTATGGTTGTTATTTTCCTTTAAACTGAACAATGTTGAGTTGCAGTGATCAGTTTCTAGTGTGCATATCAGTCTAAATACCCGTGATTCCATTTTTAAGATTATTAAATCGTTAAATAAGAAATTAAAACAATTGGTCATTTGATGCATATTTTAGAATTATCTTTTATCATTACAATGCTATTTGTATGTTAGGTTTAAATTTGCTAATCATTAATGTTATTACACTTATTATTTTCGTGTCCACAAACGCCGTTGATGAAGGCACTAAACATGGACAGAATAAAATTCTCTGTTTGTTTTCCTGTATGTCGCATTGTCAGATGATACTAAAAGTTGATTTATGAGATCTTTTTCAAATGTTGCAAATTTAAAGAAGCTTTGTTTAACTTTACATCAACATATATAAATAGTATTTATATGATATTTGTATGATTTGTTTCTTAATAAGCGGTCCCTTATACCGCCTGTATAGCGTTGGAAGGCGAAATAAAAGCATTATGTTTCAGGAAGTAGGGGGGTCTTTTCCGTTCACTCTTATGAAAACTGACAAAAAAATAATTCCGTTTACAAATAAATATTACTTGTTCCATTAAATAAATATCGTAATCATAGGGTCCCAATTACTGGTGTTACTTCTTTTATAATGTCACCATGGATGAGGCAAACTTCAACAAAACAGTATCATAACTGTAAGATATATTTACATGTGTATATGATGAAACTAATATATCTAAATAAATTGAAAAATCAGTATTCTTGTACTAACTACTAGTTCCTCAACTTCTTTTCGTGTGTCGAAATTCAAATATGTCGACAATGATCAATGTACAGTTAACAGGTTAGTTTACCTGCATAACAGAAAAAATGACGGAATCCAAATGTAAAAAATACACGTTAGTGTACAATAAGTAACAAGTCTTTTAAGGCCCGTGATAGCAAATCTATGTATTCCATATATGAAATACTTGTAAATTGATTCTTTTGATATTAGACCGATTTTAATCAAATTTAAATAATACTCAAAAGCTTTAAAGATGCAAAACATTCAAAGTTTAATTGATAGAAAAATAAATATTTTTATAAAATAAAATTGGCGAAAAACAAAAAAGATTTTGCTATGTTTATGTGACATTTGTGACAACTGGCAAACCGGAGACACATGTTTGATTCATGGTTGTTTAAGGTCCTCTTTTCATGTGACCAATTCGTTTTTATTTTTAGTTATTGTTTTTATTGTTGTTGTTTTTGTTATTTTATTTGAAAAAAAATTACATAACAAATTTTCATATTCATTCAAAAAGATAATCATGATATATGCATATAGCAAATAACTTCTCACATGCTTAATATTCAATTTGCATTTTGGTAGGTACTGTAAACTTACAGGAAAGTTACAACAGAATATAGCGGATGTAAACACACGGAATGCAACTGTAATGCAACAAACAGAAAGGTTAGCAATAGAAAGGGAAAAAGCTGAATCATTGAAACAGCAATCTGAAGAAGAGCAAAAAGAAATGGAAGAAGAAAGACGGAGAACATTAAATGCAATACAGAAAATGAAAGAACAGAGAGATGAGCTTTTTGCTGGCGCGAGTAATGATTCAAATCGTTATTTTTATGCTACCCAATAGGGCTGCATACAGTTGTCACTTTGTTTGTCCGCCCAAACGACTTCTCGGTTTTGGGTGCATAGATTCATTTTGTAACAATGGACTGAATTGGAGACCACGACTTTCCTATTCTTCAGAAGAAAAATAACAAAAAGATATGACCTCTTAGCCCATTCTGGTATAGTGACCGTCATGGTGGATGAGAATGTATTTTTCGCTTCATTGATTGGCACTTTAAAAATACAAGAAGAATCAAAATAATTGTTCAGTGGCAGGAACGTGTCTCGTTCCAAAATGTTTCCCAATATTATTTCTCGTCAACAATGACTAAAATTCATCGAAACCGTTTCTGTAACTTGACTTCCAAGAGGACCTGTGCATTAAATGTTTTTATATGCCCGAAAAATTTCGGGCATATTATGTTATACTCCCTGGCGTCCGTCTGTCCGTCCGTCCGTTAGCAATTCGGTTTCCGGAGCATAACTTAAGTTCCATTTGGCCCACAGTATTTAAACTTCATAGGATGATTGTCAATATTTGGTAAAAGACCCCTATTGATTTGGGGGTCACAAGGTCAAAGGTCAAGGTCACTATAACCTTTAAACTGACAACAGTTTCCGGAGCATAACTTAAGTTCCATTTGGCACACAGTGTTCAAACTTCATAGGATGATTGTCCATATTGGGTAAAGGGCTCCTACTGGTTTTTGGGTCACAAGGTCAAAGGTCAAGGTCACTATTACTTTAAAGTTGAAAACAATTTCCGTAGCATAACTTAAGTCCAATTTGGCCCACAGTGTTCAAATTTCATAGGATGATGGTCCATATTGGGTAGAAGATCCCTATTGATTTTGGAGTCACAAGGTCAAAGGTCAAGGTCACTATTACTTTCAAACTGAAAACAGTTTCGGAACATAACTTAAGTTTAGTTTAGCCCTGAGTATTCAAACTTCATACGATGGTTGTCCATACTGGGTATAACACCCCTATTGATTTTTTAGTCACAGGGACAAAAATCAAGGTCAATATTACCTTAAAACTGAAAACAGTTTTCGGAGTATAACTTATGTTCCATTTGGCCCACAATATTCAAACTTCATAGGAGGATTGCTTTTTGAAGGAGGTAATACTTTATTTAATTCCCATGTCTTACAATTGCTTCATCCTTACTTAAAAAGAATACACACTTTCGGTGCTCTTGTTTTGTTTTATTTTTGTTTAGACCCTCTTATGTCTGATGTAATTGCAATCCGGCCTATTTTTAGGCAATCACTTACTGACATCCATCGAAACTCAATAAAAATGTTGAACCATTAAAAGGTTCTATGCATAGTTCGTGATGTTCAGCAAAGCCACCCTCTCTAATGCCTTATCACCAGTCATCGTTGTTTGCATTAGTTCTCACCAATCACTGACTGAATTAATTTAAACCTTATAGAAATCTTCTACAGCACTAATTTTTCAGAAAGTTTTGTTATTGTGATGTTTTTACATCTGTCCTTTGTTTTAGACTTTTACTCAGCAACCGCAGACTGAAATTTAGCAAACATATACGAGAGACTTTATTGCTGACTGGATTTGTGTCCCTTTTATACCTTTCTTTTGCCTACCACACTGCTCAATTAGTGATATTAATCATTTATATTATTAATTTTGTATTTCTCCAATTTGTGTTTCAATATATTCAAATAAAATAATTATATGCACACATTCATTATACCGAGAAATGTTTGAATGTTCGAATTATTTTTCCTTTTCTTATTTTATACACATTCTGAATTATTTTAATGTTCTTTTCATTTACACCTTCCTTATTGTTAAATTCTGCTTCTATTTGCGGTTTTAGGGAGAATTCCGAAGTATGTTTGAATGTCTTTAATGTCTTTTATTATGGATTTCTTAAACTATTAATACTTTGAAAAATATTGCCTAATCTAAATGCTACTTTTTAGTATTTCGACTAGTGTATTTACCAAAATGACCAAATGATATATGTTGTGACACATTAGTTTTTCATTATTTTATTGATTTATTTCTTAGTTCCAAGTGATGTAGACGATAAGACATGGAATGATCTGATGAACATGTCGGTTCCAACCATGGTATCGAAATTAGATGGAATAAGTGCTGGAATTCAGGCAATAAAAATGCCTTTAACTCTGATCAGACAAGGAATGAGGGTACTTATATATTCATAGTCTAAGTAAACATTTAATCATACAGGTTCCCGACAGGGTAAAGGTGCCCAAATAAAACCTAAACGAGACCATTACGACTGGTTATGATAAAGTTATTCCCCTAAAGAGTCCCTCAGTGTTCGTCAAATGACATCTTGCAATTCCAACCATGCGTGGAGGAGAAATGCTCTGGACAATTTTATTATATTTTATCATCTTTAGTGACATTGGCCTTGCATATATTATTCTAAATTACATGTTTCACAACAGCAATTATGATAGTGACTATTTGTGTTTCAACCCCTAAATTAATGATTACTAAATGGTCCAAATACACATTTTCATATTTTTATCTGAACTTTAACCCCTACGTGAGACATTGACAATGACGTAAATTTTGCACGCGACATTCCGTCTTACAATGGTCAACATCTGTGCCAAGTTATATTGAAATCCGTGTATGCATGACCTTTGACCGGGAGATCTAGTTCATGCGCATGGCACTGTTGCTCATAGTGGTGAACATTTGTATGAAGTTTCATAAGAATCACTCAATATGTGTAATAGTTATGCCTTGGACGAAATATTTTACCAACTTATGTGACCTTGAGTATCATCTTGAGTGGCATTGACCATGCCATATTACCTAAATAACATGATTCAACCTGCAGTCATGATAATGACATTTGTGTTTCAATTCCTCAATAAATGATGCCAACAATATTCCGAATACACATTTTCATAAGTTTATCTGCACTTTGACCCCTATTTGAGACCTTGACCCTGGCCGCAGGGACCTTAATTTTGCATGCGACACTCCGCCTTACAATGATGAACATTTGTGCAAAGTTATATGTAGAAGTTTTGCTTCGGACAATTGTTTTTCAATGACATCGAAGTGTGACCTTTACTTTTGACCAAAAGACCTTGTCCATGCGCATAGCACTGCTTCTTATAATGGTCAATATTTGTATGAAGTTTCATTACAATTCCTTCAAATGTGTCAAATGCTCTGGACAAAATCTCTATAATTTATCATCTTTAGTGACCTTGACTATCATCTTAATTGACCTTGACCTTGCATATATTAACTTAGATCAATTGTATTACACCAGAAGTCATGAAAATGACCATTTGTGTTTCTATCCTTCTAATAAATGATGACTTAATGGTTCGAATACACATCTGAATTTTGACTTCTACGTGTGACCTTGACCTTGGCCTCAGGGACCTAAATTTTGCATGCGACACTCCGCCTTACAATGTTGAACATTTGTGAACAGTGATATTGATTAAAATCCCTGTATGCATGTAGAAGTTTTGCTCCGGACAAGCGTTCTTCAATGACCTCTAAGTGTGACCTTGACCTTTGATCTAGAGATCTTGTTCATGTGTGCGACACAGCTTCTCATAGTGGCCCCGTGCCCCCAGGGTGAAACTATTATACGACCCGTTTTTCAAGCGGCCCTATAAAAATGTACAAACTATGTATTGGAATCTGCGTTCCTTATTAAGGTGTTATAGTTATAGTATAGCAATATCATGGCCTGGGGCGACATAGGAGTTTTTCTCTACAGAAAATGATTGAGGCCCTAGATCATGACATTTCCGCATTTACCGTCCAGTTCGATATATTGTAACTGTTTTATCGCATGATAAACAGAAATAAGAATTAGGATTCTACATAAAAATTCAATTTATATCATTGTTTTCTCAATAAATTAAATTCCCTACACGGAACCTCGGTTACTTTTTATGGTACAAGAAAGTGACCATTTTTTTTTCTTACAGTAAACCCCATAACGTATGAGCCAATCAGAAGTATGTTGGTTGGATGGCCACAGACACATAAAACATTGCTGTAAATATTTGTGACGCTCCAGTATTATGCTAACCGCCGTTTGATCAGCAATTTAATGGCATGCTAAAATCTATGTCAATGAAAGGATCATTGCTACTTTCTCGAGGGCCATATAACCTTTCCCAAGTCTAAATAAATTCGTTTTTCTCCAACCTAAATTTTGGTCCAGTCCAATGACACTGTTATACTGAACCAAGTGTACTTGCTAATTGTTCTGTATTTGAAATAACGCACACTTTTTCCATAGGAGTGCGCGTTATCTAATATATCGCACCAATATAGCATGTTCACTAGCGTTTAACAGCTGAGGAACATCAACGACAAATCGCCGCACCATGCAATTATTAAAGCATAACATATCTACTTTGTGTGAAGTCAAAACATGTTTATTTTATATTTATAAAAAGACAGTATACCAATCATCAATATGTTCAATAAACATAATTTATTCGTCACATAAGCATATTTACATACATGATATTTACAATCAATACAAGAAAATGATTAGACTAGAAACAACCTAATGCTTATTGAAGACTTTTCCCTAGTATGTACTCGTATAATAAATATATGTGCAAAATAAAATGTGCAAAACATTAAATTGAGCATAGAATATCATTAAGGTTTTGAAATAATATTTAATAAATATACTTTAATAATTCGTATATGTAACAACATGCAATCCTTTATCAGACAACAACCCTCAAATTCCGTTTTGATATAATCTTTTTTAGAATATACTTAAATAATTCCTATTTGTATCAAAAAAATGTACAATCCTTTATTAGAAAAGAAACCTTCAATTTTAGTATTAAATAAACTTTTTTAAAAGATACTTTAATGATTCCATTTTGTATCAAAATGCAATCCTTTATCAGAAAAAATAACCCTAAAGTTAAGCCTAAAGATAATCGAATGCATTCTACTTTCCAATTAACCATAGTGAGTGGTGGTTTGAAAATTAAATGTCGTATTTGGTTTCTTTTTATTTAAAAATAAAGAAATTTGATATGCATAAATTAAGAAAAACGTTCAATTTTTGTATTGATCATAGACATACGCTGCTATAAAAGGTGGACAGCAAGCACAAGAGGCCATTGACAAGGAAGATGAGAAACAAAACAAACTGAGAGAGGAAATTCGAAAACGCAAAGAAACAACACAAGAACGATTGGCACAAATAAAGCGCACAGATTTGAGAATAGGTAAACATCAGTTGCAAAGCGTCTTTTAGGAAAAGGTTATTTTCATAATATCCGTGTTTTTGTCATCTCAAATTATTCCCTGCGGTCTGGACCGTTGCATGTACTATACCAAAACTTACGTTACCCTCATCATTTGCAAAATAATGTACCATAAACCTTTACTGTGATTCTGGATTAGTAATTGTCTTTCTGATTATACGAGTGATCCAAAAATAATGTCATTACACCTTCTTCGCGTGAAACTTACTGAACTTACCGTAACGGAAGAAAATTCCATGTTCACAATTTCACTGACTGGCTATGTACAGTGTAAATTGCTGTTTAGCGTTTTCGCTAATCTTGACTCAAAATAACTTGAACAGGATCAAACAATGCAATTGAAATAAGAGCCTACGTAAAAGGTATACCCTTACTTGGCATTAAACCCCTAAATATTCATCTTGAGGCTAGTAATATTTCTGGGAATGGGAAATGCCTCATAGGTCTGTTTGTAGGTTGGTTGCTTAATTTAAAACCCAAAGAATCTGCTCATCAAGGACGTCCTGCAACAATTACAATGACAAAATCGTAAACATCCATCAAATCATACAGCTAAAACGAAATATATATCGCGAGGAAATTGTTTCCGATGACAAACTTGTCGATAGCGCGTGTTCATGGTATTTTGAAAAAAACAAACTAACGCTTAGAAAGATAAACGCTCGGTGGATACCTCATTTGCTAAGCGATGAACAAAAGAGTGTACATACTGCAATAATATTAAAAATGTATCGTTATATATACTAAAAAGACTTTTGATAATTTATTTACTGGTGATATAAGCCCTGGGTATACTATTCTAAGCGAAAATGTAAGAGTTCTAACAAAATCTTGGCATCAAAGAATGCAAAATGTGCTAGTATTACTAAAAAAGAAGGTTTCATTTGTTTTTGTTTAACAATAAAAGCCCTGCAATGCAAATCCTCTGGCAAACGGTTAAACAATCACATGTTACTTTTTTGTAAAAATGCTTTTAAATTAAAGCACAGAAGGTGCTGAATTTGTTTGGGTCTCAGAATATCAGAAAGGTGAAGGTTGTGAGATTATAAACCAATTTGTTTTTGTATAGTGCCACCAATGCTGTTTTCAGTGTTAGAACTGTAGTAAACTGGCGCCGCTAAGTGCAACACTGAATTATTCAATTCAATGTTTAATTTGCTTAAAAAATATTTTTAAAAAAAGAAGAAAAAAATGGATTGTCTTAACTGGGATTTGAACTCCAGACCTGTCGTTTCCTAAACGAGCCTGTAACCCCTCGACCAGTGGGAATTTATAGGATAACAGCCTGAAGAAAACCATATTATTCTAAATTAGGGTTTGTAACCCCTTCTTTATTTCGAGATATTTTGTTCACGGTAAACCTGTTGTTTAACACTGATGTAAATAATCATGGAGTTAAATATAAGCATGTACATCTGTAAAGGCACAATATTAGAAATCTTCGACCAATCGGGAACTATATTTACTTCCCCGAGAAGGCTTGAAAATTAATGCATCATTAGACAATCTTTACGCAGTGTTCTCCCCTTAATTTTTCGGCGTTAGTGTACTTCGAGGAGTTTGGACTTCTTTCGGTTTTTGCAAATAAGCTCATCAGGGTCTGAAATTCCGCTACCATTATTTGTTTGGTCTGACGATCCAAACAAATAAAAAAATGAAGAAATGTTACGAAAATCGGCGTCCTAAAACAAGTGAGATGTATATACGTCTATTGCACGACAATGTACTTCTTTCTGTTCCAAAAACTTAAAGTAAAAAGATACAAATCACGAAATGCCCTTGGGTATACAATGTATCTGTATATGATAGGTGCTTATATTGAGGAGTATGAAAAATGTTTCATATTAATCTTTCTGATAGTGTTGTTGTATTGATAATTCAATTTTATTTTCTCTTTAAACTTAAAAATCATGTGAATGATATGAACAAATAGTGTAATTCCCTTGTGCATTTGTTGTATTTTTTAATTTCAGCAACCTTGGGTGACATATCAGGTCTTCTTGAGGCTCTCAAACAGTTGTCAAAAGTAGATGAACTGTTTGCAGAAATAATATTGTTCTGGGACAACATGTTAGTTTTTCTAAAAAGTCTACATGACAAAACTGGGGCGGGGAAAAGCTTTCTGACAGCATTAAAGACGAAGAAATACGCCAAAATGTTTGAAGAAACTATTTCAAGAGCAGAAGCGGTAATACCTATAATATTACTATGCAGTTTTTTTAAACATTTTGATCAATTTCCTGCAAAATTATACATATTTTTACTGACATATAACCTTACCAGTAACCATAGAAGTAAAATTCAAACAGCAAGTTAGTGTCATTATATATGACATATATGAATTATTAGAATTCAGACAATGCGGGTGTTGACGTACATTGTGCATTTTTACACTTATTTAGTGAATTTTATCACGTAAAGTTATTTTTTTAGGAATGGAGAAAATTTGGAGCAATCTGTCGAGCATATGCCATGCAAACAGACCAAGATACAAGGATGGTATATAGATTTCTGTCAACACCTGTTGACCTCATGGATGTCACAGAAAGGCAGTCAAGGATCCGTCAACTTACATACGACATTGAACAAAACATGCTCCAACTTGAATTCTAGAGATTCAATGGCTCAACGATTGCTTTGGGAGAATAAATGATTTTAGTTATTGTTATTTGTGCCACTGTAAAAAAAAAATTGTAATCACTAATGACATTCGTTAACGTATTTTCTCTAAACATTCAATTTAATTTGTTATATATTTTAACTAGATGTCATTCCTAGATAAAGCACCTTATGTTATATTTTCATGAATTTTGCTTAACCCAAAATGACACGGTGAAATATGAAAATAAAAGATATACGAGTATTCACATATTAATGCCAGCTTGTCCACAATAATCCACTATTAATTGGAAAACAACGCACAAAACACGCCACAAATATTAAACAAATCTGCATATTTTCTTGACTATACTAATCGTATAATTACGGCATTACTGTAGTTGAGAAATTCCGATTCAAGAATTTGTGTTACTTGAATCAGTATCTTTTTTTTTGGTCTCTACTTGTTCATCTTCCTTTTTCAAATATGAAATTGAATTCCACATAAATTCCAGATGATTCACACTTGAAATAAATATGATATTTATTCAGATATACGAAAGCTCATTTATATGGGGCTGTGATAAAAAAAACAACCGATAGATATGATATTGAAACGAAATTCCCTTAACCACGTGATCTATTGTAGGATTCAAATGCCCCTTTGTGCAGTGGACAACATTAATGAATTCCCCCAGTTTACACGATTAAATTACTTTTTTCAATCAAACGATACAATATATTTATTCACAAATAAGTAAAACCAAACAAAACTGATATATCAGCTTACAGGCATAAATCTATAATGCTGTCCTCTATATTTTATAATTGTTGTTGTTTTGTGTTTATGTCAATACCCAAGCACAACATTGACCTATTTCTGTTGTAAATTAGACAAACTAGGTGTCATTGTAAATAAATTGAAACTATAAAAAATATTTTAATGTGTGCATAAATATTTTATTCTTGCAACATTGTTTAAACGCATGCCATATAACATTCTATCATTACAAACTTAAACCTTTTTTGATGAAAAAGGCCATTTCTTTTAACATAATTATGTTCATTGTTTTCATATAAAATGAGCATTGTATTTTGTTTACACCTGTGAATCTATTAATTTAAATAATTGAACATGCATGTTTAACATGATTTTATATGAAAAGTGTAAATATTTACTTGATTTAACAAAAATTAAAAGTCTTCTTGAAAGAACAAAGTATATGGTTTACATGATCAAATATGGAAAATAACTTGTAACTATTTTATTGATTAAAAAATTAAAAATGTTTCTTGAAAGAACGAAGTCTATTTTAATCAGAGTGACAAAATTCAGTTTTATTATACTTGTAAGAATTGCTGAATGTAGTTCCTTGTGTATTGATTTTTGTGATCATTTATATACGCTATGAAGAAATTAAAAATTTATTTATTCAAGATAAAGCCGATTATTTGTGGTATATTTACTAACATCTTCGATCACCGTTCAACTAAATGTGCTTCAGCTTTGTGTTATCTTACCAATAGTATAAGATTATATTAATCATCGGTTACAATACTGACTACACAGCTGTCAAATCAATATCGGACGAGGCGCAATCAGAGTCCGTTGCTCGAGTTAGTATGTATAACAATGTATAATATCCTGTTTACTTCATGCGGCCAGAACTTGGCAGAACTTTTTTATTATGTATGACAATATATAACAAGAAAAGCATTGATGCAAAGCATCAAAGGGCGTCCATGCAAGAAATGCAGCAAGTGAAGATGAACTAGTAGACATCTGATGACCAGATATTCTTATAAACTTTTCAATGGTTAATTGGTTTTTACCTGAATTGTATATTTATGTATGGGCGGAAGAAAGACATTGTTCATTATGAACTTTGGTAGGCATGCTAGAGATTAGAATATTATTTTTTTTCACAGGAACTTGAAATTTAATCAATATTAACGATAATATCCAAAATATACAGGCCAATAATATCCGAAATGAAATAAGTTGTTTGAATATGTTTCATTTTTCATCTTTCATTTCCTGCAAAATCCTCCAGTTCGTTATTTAAAGCCATAGTGCTCATATAGTGCTACACGAATGACCGTTTCGTTAAACTAAAACTTCTTCTATAAATAGATTATCGGACTTTCACAATGTTAAGGTCATCATTCTATTTATAAGTACAGCAATACACAATAACCCACTGTGTGTACTACAAAATGATTAATAAAAAAAACAGTAGAGCGCGATTAATTGACGGATAAGATTATTTCATTTGAATATGTTTGCATTGCAAAATTCTCCAGTTCGCTATTCATTGTTCGCCACATTTCATTTTTGATAATCAAACACCCTCATACCAATCGGAATGACCGACTATTATGACCGACGAAAAGGCAGAGAAGTTGCTGCCGCCCTTTCACAAAATCTGATTTCATTTCATAAGAGGCGTCGCGCTTCGGCGCGGACCCTAATGACCTGTTTACTTCAACGCTGTTTTTGACAGAACTTTTTTACTTAAAGTATAAGAAGTATTTAATATTGAATATTTTACTCTGAAATACATGTAATAGAATTGATAGAGGATAGGGAAATCAAATCCGAGTCTGGTCGGTTCCATCGGAAAAGTCTGGCGGCATGGCCGAGTTGTAAACACCTCGGACTAATAATCTGTTGATCGCTTTGCGCATGGGTTAAAACCCCGTCAGGGGGAAGTCATTGTCTCCTTGAGCAAGAAACTTTACACCCATTACTCAGTACTGGTTGGTTTCAGGAACTAATTCGAAAGTGTGTCTATAACTAGAAAGCTTCCTACACAATCAAACTAAAATAAATTCTGTATAAACCAATTCTATTAATCACATCTATATAATAGATATACTCTATTTTGACGTTTGAATTCAAGACAGTTATGAACAAAATAGTACAATGGATCAGAGTACAGACTAACCGTTATTTAGTTAGATAGCACCCTTATATGCTTGGTCATTTCCTATAGCTAGTATTAAATGAGGTTGAACCATCGAGAAAGGTCACGATGAGCAGCAGACAATATTAGAGAAATCATTGTAGGTATTAAGACAGGCCCGCTCGGTCATTTCCTGGCTTTGTTCATAGAGCCACAATCAAGTGACTTTCACGTTTACTTCCCTGTAGGAAAGGGAGTGATCATTTCAAGTAGCCATAGCACAACGAAATTTCTGCACAAAGTTGCTGGCAGTGCGTTTAAAAAAGTATCTCTAGGTTCAAAAGCGTAAATACTTTATGATTTAGAAAATATTTAAGGTCTATCGCTTTTGCGACTCTCCCGATTTGAGCCATCAAAAATCGGCCCATTGTACAGTGTGATAGAAATGTCCGTTTCCGCACGTGTAATCACGCACGGTCCACTCCTGATATTGGCTTAAAGACAGACAGGGATTTAACATTTTGCTTTTCTTAATAAAGACAATTGTTTATATTATTAAAAACGAAAAATATTGGTTCTCAACATGCCGACTGTAAAACAATATTCGAACTATGCAAGTTAGACAACTATTCCAATCATTTATTCTATTCTTTCAAGTCTTTTTTTGCTACTTGGGAATGTTCGTTTACGCTGCCCCATTGGAACCTCCGTGAAAAAAACTATATAGCAGATGAGTTTTTTTCCTATATGAATCAATGAAAAAAACTGTATTGCTATTTTAAATGCTCATTGAAAGTGTACGGAGTAAAATGAATAAAAAGTTCCAAACCATGCGATAATATGGAATAACGTTATATTGTACATGTTGTACCATAAATGATTATGTGTTTGCAATTTATCAATCTATTGTTAAATTGTATCTTTGAAATTTGTATTTTGGGATTGACTACATAACTTGATATAACTTTTGTTCTGGTATTGTATTTGGCCTAGTCAATCTTTTACTAGTGATGGAAATCCAGTTACCCCTTCTTGACTCAGACTGACAAGCCTGGTAGGGACGAAACTTTCTTGACCCAAGATAAATGTCTATCTTAAATGCCACATGTAACATCTGAAAGAAATTTTCAAGATATCTTATTCAACAATTCTATATTGATGAAAAAATAAGACAGAGAAATTTGATACAATTTATTATTGCATACATTTAATAACAAGTGAAAAAGAAGCTTTTTTTTTCCTTTGCCTGAAAATATTAATATATTCCAAGAGTTTTATAACTCTTTAGAAGATATTTATTCCAGACAATGTTGTAACTATAGAGATTATCAAAATTACTTCTAAACATGAAATTGACTCCAAAAATAGTTGCTTTACTGAGCTACCCATATCAAATGCGAAACTAAATTTAACTTATTAAAGAATGGCTGCTCATATGAACACCAAATTTTGAAGTTTTTATTTTAAATGAAATTCAGCAGCAGTCATTATCAAATACTGGCCATGGTGTTACGTTTGTGTTTAAAATTGGTGCCACAATAGATGCATAAAACTGTGCTACATTAGCTGTTTTAGGCACAATGGCTGCCACAGTAGAAAAACATTTCACAATGACCAATATGTATTGAATGTCAAATAAGCGGCTATTAGCTAAAACTTCTAAAATGTGTTTCAAATATCAAGTAAGTTGCCATTTTCATATATGTTCCTTAATGGCAATGTTGATAGCTACAACAGCAGTCAAAGTAAACACTATTCAACAATGGCTTATGTGTTTTGAATGTCAGATATGTTGCCATCATTAATGGCTACCCAGAGTTGAATGTCACAACAGCTGCCATGATAAAATGATATTCAACAATGGCTAAAATGTTGAATATTACAAATATGTAATGAGACTGTGAGATTGAGATGTGTTAACAGTCAGTATGAATGATTTGGTGAAATGTTCATATGAAGGTCAAGATGGTTTATTAGATGGAAAAACTGAGTGGAACTGTGGAACTTTACAACTGATTTTCTTCATCAAATTCTTCACTTCCATGAACTGTCGCTTGAATTGTAGACCATCACCCTAAAAAATACAAACATTTCATAGGTAACTTTTCCTGTTTTTTTAATCAAATATTTACTGTATTTTTCACAAAAATAAATTGTTTACATCATCTATGATTTGTTACATAATAAGTAAATTATATAATTATATTTAATTTAGAGATAAAATGGAAATAACTCTTTCAAGTAAGAGCTGTCCATACTCAATAGGTCAGTATTCTCCACTATTCTAAGTGAAATTTAAACAGTTCTTCAAGAGTTCACGTCCAATAAGGGTTTTATAATGTCCAAATTCATAACAGAGCCATGCCTCCTTGTCTGCAAGAAGAGATGGCCATAAGTAATCATAGGAGCAACATTATATCTCCATGCTTTCAATCAAATGTTGGTGCAGAATTTTTTTTAAAAAAAGATTTGGTGCTGACAATGTGCACAGATTCCCAGGTGAGTGTGACATATGCCTCTCAACACTTCAGGCAAGATAAAACCATAATTAAAACTAATTCCTTAGTTAACCCTTTTGCTGCCAGAGGGTTATTATTTTATTGATCACCTATTTGCCAGAGGGTTTTCTAAGAAATTACTATATTATTATTTTTTTTTATTTTTGTTGATATTATTAATATTATATGATTATTATTATTTGTTATTAGTATTATAATAATTATATATGTTTCCAAATCTGTTAGTATATTAATAATTAATGTCGATGGTATAATTTTCTTTATATTTATTATCATTTTTATCATTATTAATTTATTATTATTATAGAATTCTAATTATTATTATAGAAACGGCAAAAGCCGTCCGTATGGCAAATACACCGAAAATAACAGGGACGGCATAAGCCGTCCCTATGGCAGTGGAAGGGTTCAAGTCAAAGTCTTTTTAAGTCAGTCAGAGACTCTGTACTTGTGACACATGAATCTAAGGCCCATTTTTATCATCGGTTTAAATTCTTATTTTCCAGAGAAGTGCATTAGGCAAAGTCATGTCTCATGTGTACTTATTGCATTCAGAAAATGATTCTAGTAGCCTGTGAAACAGCATTACCTATTATCAGTAGTAGAAGAGAGGTCACTGTATATAGTTTAGATATACTGAAGTCATGGGTTTGAGCCATCATGTGACAGAGATGCAATGTGCAAACGACAAACTGCACATCATCATACGTCATCATATAATAAAACAGAGACTTAAAACCTTATATGTTGCATATATATTTACCTACAATAAACCGCTATGCATATTTAATGTGTTAAATCAATATACTTTTGATTTATTCACTGACCTTTGATAATCTGAAGTCCAGCAACAGATTTTCTCCCATTTCCAGTAGACAGGCCTTAAACACTAGAGGCATGCCCCTCCTGTCCTTCAAATTAACAGTTGTCTGAAATTATAACAGAAATCTAGTTTTAACATAATGCTAATATATGATGAAACTAATAGAATATAACTATGTTTGTTTGTTTGTTTTGTTCGATTCTAAAGCTCAGAAGTGAATACATTTTACCTTCTTAAGAAAGGCAAACATGAGTTTATTTAAATAATGATCTTAGCATAATGCTAGTGGCTTATTACCTGAAGAAAAAAGCACTGAATGTGAAATTATTTGTCATAAAGTAGTTTACTGTAAACAAAGTAGTATTTTGACTTAACATACAAAATACTAAATCAATAAACTGGACTTATTGCTGTAAATCAACAAAAACAAAATATGACTCAGTTTATGATCCAATGAGTCACTTTTTGGAACTATAATATAACAACGAAAAAAAAAAGCTTATGAGAAAAGAAAATAAAACCATTTAAGGGCATAATGGGCCTTTAAGTCAAACTGACACTATAAAGGTCATATGATGACTTTGAAGCTTTACTGTTGGCGCAAGACCTAAGGTGCACTTCATACATGATTTCAGGCACCTGAGAAAAACCAATAACCTTCTGTAAGCTTGTTTTCCATGTAAACTAGTATTATATGAAGACCTCAGATGCCCCTCCACATCTGAGCACACCATTATGCATGAGTAATGACTTGCATTCTAAGTTGAGCTTCTAGACTTGGTCCCCCCAAGTTTAGCTTCTAGACTCGGTTCCCCACCCCTTTTTTCTATAAACTTTGAAGCATCTTACATTACATTAAAAATTCAACATTCCTGGTAGTATTTAAAACTACTGCTCAAGGTGCAAGTGATACAAAATCAATGGCCTAACCCTCACTTCAGAGGCTTCTAATTTATTTATATGTCTATGAGAACAACCTGAATAACACTAATGCAAATACATTTTCTAATCTGCCTAGCAAAATGAATTGACACTACAGCCTCCATATTGTTGTTATAAACTAACTCTTCATATAGGAAATGGGTACTATTGTATTGGAAAATGGATTTATCTGCTCTTCTTTAAGTTTTTCTTTCTTTATCATGCCTTAAGCACTTAAATGAAATAATTTATTTATAATCTCTTTAAAAAATATATATATATACATATATAAAAGTAGGAAAAAACCTGAGAAAATCTAAAAAGTATCGTAAATAAATAGGGGATTTCCCTACCTGAAGAAAGAAAAAAGTTTAAAGAATAAAAGCCACAGACATTTGTACAAAAAAAATACTCTAAATACTTTACTTGTAGGAAGAAGTTCAAAAATCACTGACAATCCATTAGCATTAATCAAGATAAACATTTTTACAAAATAATACTTACAATGCCTGGACTGCTCCTCCTAAATGCGTACCCTAGACTCTCAAATATACGATCCATCTCTGTTAACGTCTCATTCTTATCTGTCTTTACAAAGAATCGTGTCATACGTCTACCAAGCCTCTGCATAGGATTCTACAAAGAGAAAATACTATGTCAATTTAAGTTCAATAGTAACTGCATTGAGAATACAATAAGTAATATAAAACTTTACCACATACCCGTGCCGATTTTGCTGACTCCGTAAAAATTGTAATGCACAGCTGTGCGTTTGTTTTAACATGATGTCTTTGGCCTTATACAAACATAAGTGTAAAGACGCGCAAAATTTTAGTGTTTTATATATAGGCGCGTCAATGGAAAAATGCTTCTTTTTTTCTTACTTTTAAAAACAGATTTTATTTTTGGTATGTGACAAATAGAGTATTATAATTGTGTAGGTTCATTACTGAATTTATTGAACTTGTTCAATAAATTCAGTATTGAACTTACACTCATTCTATATCCTCTATATACTGAAATATACATGTTATAAACTTAATCTTATGAAGATTTAATGTTGGGTATGAAAGTGGAAGGGATACATATGCCATTCAACTGTTAAGTTAGTCTATTGATGGACAGTGTGACACCAGATTGGACAGACAAGACCAAATCTATATACACCCCCATCACCAAGACTTTTAGTTGTAGACCTTCACACCACTGATGAGCAGATCTTAACTCTTGAGCTAGAGTTGTAAGAACTAACCTTGTAAATTTTTTCTTTGTATTCTGCTCTGCACATGTCTAAAAACTTCAATCCTTAATTACTTAGGCATCAAAGTAAATGAATACAATAAACTTCCATTTTTGACACCAACACTATTCTTTGTAAAGTACCCAAAACATTTTACTACACACCTAAAGTACTAACACAAAGAAGTAAAAAGATAATTCTTTCCTTCTGTATAAAGGAAACCTTATCTGTTTTCTTAATCCTATTTTTAGAGGAATAGACTGTAAACCTTAGGACCTGGAAAATTTTGCTGTTTGTTATTGAATTATGCTTTTCATGTAAAAGACCACTTTTTATTTTATGATTTTCCTTTCATATAATGTTCTTATTGAAACATTATCACAGTATTTACCTGAGAGCAGCTGCCAGGTGTACCCTGGACTTGACTAGACAGTAACATATGATCAGGGTGTAGTGGTTGAGAAAAGCTGATAACTGGTCCTAAATCAACTTCGTTAGATGACTGCCCCTTCATTGGTATAGGCGGTAATTCAGGTTGTGAACTACATATTTGTAACGTATCACTGAAATATTATAATAAAATATAACATAATGATATACTTTTTTAAAGTGCCCATCTAAGTGTATATAGTGAGTGAACAGGTAAAAGTCAAAATAAGCTCTCGTTTTGCCACAATTCCTTTAAATTTTACAAATTACTTCGCACGAACAATTAATAACATACAGATCCAAATAAAATTTCTGTTAATATCCATTTGTATTTACCTGAAACGATCAGTTTATAAAAAGAGTGGGACAGTCTTTTTATATTGAAGGCAGATTTAAATTTTATCCTTAACATTTTCCAATCTTAACTGTTGGTCAAACACAATATTAACAGACAATCTTTTGAAATATAAAGTCAATCTACTCATTTAAAAAATTTAAATCTATTAAGCTTAGTATTTGTTCTTTAAAGAACATGCAATAAGCTGGAAAAATCATATCTTTTTACCAAGTTATTTTTTCATCATGAAATATAATGAGTAACAATAATTCATAATTATTGTTGTTTTTTTTTTGTCGCTTTTTTCTAGATGTTTTATGCAATGTAATTGCAATTTTGAGTGCTGTACTCCAAAAACAAACACACAATGTTTGGTACAATTCTGTATATAATAGAATCAAACTTTTATATCTGTAGAAAAGACATGACATAATGGCTGTGATTGAACTCACCTGTCTGATTTAAATTTTGTAGGTGACATGTTGATACCTGAGCAAATACGTTTAAATGGTCCCGTACCACAAGGTGAATCACTCGGTGAACTTGAGCAGTTATTCATAGAACCTGTTATACGAGCACATACAAGACTTACATGTATATAATTTGAACATGAAATTAATTACATGCAAAGGATTACAAGATTTAGAACATGGATCCGTGTTTATTTGCCTATTCTGATCATTTAGTGTTTGTAATATTCTAACCTTATACTTTTTTTGGTTGGATTTATAAATCATACCAACACTGTCATATGGCAATTTATCAGCTTTTCTGGAAATGGAAAAAGTTGTGCGCCCTCTGTGCATTACTTTAATCACAAAAACACATCCAAACTACTTAATATACAATTACCCTCCAAGCTGACCAGAGAGTTGCCTTACATGCTTTTCAGATAGTATCCAGAACTCAGCAAATAATTTTTAAAGTATGTTTTTTCCCAAACTAATGCCCCAGGCATCGATTCATGGTATATTACCATTCACAATATATTACTTTTATCAACTTGTTGTGCTCATTTATGAATTTGTAACTACATGTATTTAAGTTTAGTTCTACCCTTAAATTAGCTGGGAAAACCAAAAATATAATTATTTCCAGAGTAAGTCTACTGTATTTAGCAGGCATTATTATTCTTATAAACCAAGATGAATATGAACCATTCTATGGTATTAGTTTATTAATACATTAATGCCTACCTTTGGGGTGTGAGCGAGTGATTAACACATCAAACTAATAATCTAAGGACTGCAGGCTGTGTGGGGACAAACAGTCAGGGACAAGCTGTTGTTTCCTTGAGCAAAGAAACTTAACACACATTGCTTTGAACCAGTTGGTTCATGGAACTGATCTAAAAGTGTGTCTATAAGCTTTTTGCTACATGATCAAACCAAAATTAATTCTGTATAAACTGATTCCCTACCTTTGTTTTTATTAAAGTTTTTGTTGTACCAAGGGTGATTCTTAATCTCATCAATAGTTCGTCTTTTCTTCACATTTTCCACAAAAACTTTTCGTAATAATGCTGCAAACATAGGGTCAAACTGAATTTTCAAAAACATATGATGGTATAAAAGATAATATATTTACCTGATAAGTGCTAGAACCAAAATGGATTAAACTTTGCCATCAGTTCTGAGCAAAGCAAGCCTGCACTGCACTCTCAGTTGGAAATTATTGAATTACATGTACATTGTATGTATATACAATTTTTCTTCTTAAGTTGTACATCATACTAACATTGCTAAGGTTAGATGGAAATGTTGAAGCTTTACTGCTGTAGGATTCTATATATGAAAACATTATGGAAACTTACAAAGAGCTAGGGTATTGATTTTTTTCCAGGGACTCAATGTAATCTTACAATCTTTCCAGTTACAATACTCCTCACAACCGTATGTTGGCTCATCCCACGGTAGTTCTGTAAAATATGAAGGTACAAGAAGTTGTTCTAAAACAGTGATTTTCCTGCTTATATAACAGACTCCGATAAATTAAAGGCCTCTTCCTAAATGAAATTTTCTTTGAAATCATGCAGTTTTCCAAAAAAAATCTGAACTTAAACCTGCTTTTTTACTTCCCAAATTATAGCAATCTTAGCGATAATTTTTCCCCAAAATCAAGTGGCTAAGGCCTCAAGAAAAATCACTTTAAAACAAACCCGGCGCCTTAAAAGACTTATGGGTGAAAAGTTACATATCTTAACAATTCCTGAAAACTGATAAATACAGGATTGTGAGGTTTTCAAGTCAGCCTATGTTAAAGTTGTCTTTACCTGATCTAAGTAAGGCCATCCTTTGTTCCATTTAAACCTGATCTAAGTAAAAAAATGTTTGTTTGCAGTAACCCGACCCAGAATTTTCAAGGTGGGTAGGTAGGTCGATTTTTTTTTTTTATTGAGCTGTACTCCCAAATAAACATGGAATTTCAAAATGTTGGACAATATATGCTTTGATAATCTGGTAACAATTAATGAATTGATAACTGAATTCTAATTTAATAAGAACTACATTTTGATTCTTCTATTAACCTTTAAAAGAACAAAAACAAAGCACAAGGCATAATTTTCTGATTCCAAAAAAAAAAAATTATTCAGACCATGAAAAAAAAAAATTTGAGTAGGGGCAAATTTTGTGAGTCGGTCGCGTTACTGCAAACAAACATTTTTTAAGGATGGCCTAATAATTTCAAATGATAAGTTTTTAGGCTTTTTGACTTTTAAAATACATCAAATATCTATGTGAATGAATATTTAAAAAACAATTAATTACGGTTATAATCTACATAATAATGTTATTCACCTCCTGCCAGAAGAGCAACTAGAATGATTCCACATGACCAAATATCTGCCGGTTCAGCAGGGTACGGTTTACGACTTATCACTTCCGGTGCAACATATGGCACGGTGCCACAACACTTCTCCATCAACCTCTCACGACCTTGATACCGGAACACTGTAGCCAGACCGAAGTCTGATATCTTGAGGTTGTCTATAAACAAAAATATTAAAAACATTCAGACAATTTAATCTTTTTGAAATAAGATATTTTAATTCAGCGTGCATTGTCATATACCATCTATACCAGTTAAGATGTCATGTAATAAAATGACAATTACTGAATGCCTGAGTGAACATTAACAAACATCTATATTCCAAAACTGACGTCTGAACATTTCCCTCACATAAATTATGAAAGGGTTCAGGCCATTTTGATTTGTGAAAGACAAAGCGCTATTTTCTTGAAATTGTGAATTTACGGATTACCATAATTTCCTTAAAATTGTGAAAGAAGAGGCACGATATTGACATAATTTATTAAAGCAAATTTACAATCTAAATTTTACATTTTTTGATAAGAAACATTACTTTTTTGAGAAATCAACTTGAACAGTTTGAAAAAATGTGATTTCATGAAGTTGTTAACAAGTTAGAAAATATTAGGGAATATTTTTCGGTGACAGTGCTAAATATATATTATTTATACTTAAAAAAAAAATTATTTTTTTCATTCAATCAATATATTCAATATTCAAAAATAACCAGAATATCAAATACTTACCAAAATCATCTAGCAGTAAATTTTCTGGCTTCAAATCTCTATGTGTAACACCCCTTGAATGTAAATACTCCTACAAGAAAATAGTCTTGATATTTAGTAAGTACTAACATATCTAACAATGTAATTGTAGAATTTCATAAAAACCAATTACCAATATCTTTAGTTAAAATAAATTGGATTTTCTTTATTACAGTAAATTTGGGGCAAATTTGGTATTTTTTCTGAAGGGTTTTAAATACTTACTACTCCACTAATAAGCTGTTTAAAAAATCTACTCGCATCAGCTTCTGGCATACCTACATCAGGTTCTGAAAGAGACAACCATCATTGGCTTTAAAAATACATAAAAATGCAGATTATAGTTTTAATTTTTTTTTATATATCACAAAAGCTCCAATTTAACTTCAACCTATTTTGATATTATTTGACAGGTGATATTTTAAAACGACAACAAGCCCTTGCTTTTTACATGTAAAAAGAAAAAAGGGATTAATTAATTGAAAATGTATAATATAATATAATTAAGAAATAAATTTATCAAATATAATATACATGTAAGTAAATATATTTATATTGAAATAACTTTAGGCAAAAATGTAAAAATATGACATGCAAGAAAACAAGAAATATATCATCACTTACACAAAATAAATTACATATTTGGCCTACTTTTAAGCTTTTGTGCTCAGTTACTAGAAACAATTAGACAACAATTTGACAACAGATTAATCAGATCAGAAACTTCACCTACCTATTCTATCAAACAGTTCACCACCAATAGCATACTCCAGGAAGATGTACTGTATGTTGTCATCCTTGCGGAAACCATAGAATTTGATGATATTCTTGTGGTTTAACATTTTGTGTACACATACCTACAGAGTGATATCAAATAATTACTTTAGTAAACATTCATAAACAGTAGTATAAGAATACAATTTTAGTAATTATTGAAAATATAACTTTAAGTAGATATAGACAGCTTATACTGGGCAGGAACCATTTCGGGACAAAACCGTTTACGGGACAAGTATTTAACGGCTGTTAATTTTGGCTTTATCGATGACGATCGTATTATTGTCATGAAGATGCTTGGGTTTGATTGTTTGAGAAAAAACTTCTTTCCAAGTTGACACATCAAAAAATTCGTGAGGTATCTTACCTGTGTTTTAAAAAACAGCCTATATCCTTTGGGGCAGAATTTTTTTCTGGCATCGCAAGTTTTGTTTATTTCGGGATATAAATTTGGGGGTACAATTAATGCACAATGACTTATTTGAAGTCATTGGTTTATTCCTCAGAGCTAAATTTGTACCTATCGGAAAACGGTGTTTAGGATAGGTTTACCTAATTCCCACTTCGTTGCTGCCAGTACACACAAAAATATCGTTTCACGTTCAGTCATTCGAGACCCATAAAACATAACTATTTTTTTCCTACATAAACATTTTTCAGTAAATCAGCTTAATTATATAAGAAGCTTATGTGTGAGAAGAAATTTGTTGTTATATCAGAGTAATTATCAGTTAAAAACATATATAAATAGCAGCTTAATATATGTCCGGAAACTGGTTCTGCAAGTGAACAATTTACACTTTTGATGACCTAATATAACCCTTCAGTTTGTACATTGCTTACGTCACCAGGCAGTATTAATTGTGTTATTAGACGTAGTTAGAGCTCAGGTTTTTGGTATGTTAGTTTTATTAATGCATCTTTATTATTAAACAAGAGGGCCATGATGGCCCTGAGGTCGCTCACCTGTATATAGGCCCCCGAAGCGGGGCCAGTTTAAACCCGAGGGCTTTTATTTGAACAAACTTGGAATTAAGACACCCATTAGAAGATGTTTCATGATTTTAAGTTTTTACTATACACATATAGTTAAAAACAATGACACCCCTGGGGCGGGGCCAGTTTTGAACCCAGGGCTTTTATTTGAACAAACTTTGTAGACACTCACTAGAAGATGTTTCATGCTTAATATCTAAACTCTAGCTATTTGGGTTTTTTCAAAGAAGATTTTTTAAGTTTTTGCTATACACATAATTATAAGGAAATCAATGACCCCCTGGGGCAGGGCCAATTTTGACCCCAGGGCTTTAATTTGAACAAACTTTGTAGACACTCACTAGAAGATGTTTCATGCTTAATATCTAAACTCTAGCTATTTGGGTTTTTTCAAAGAAGATTTTTAAGTTTTTGCTATACACATATCAGAAATCAATGACCCCCGGGGCAGGCCAATTTTTGACCCAGGGCTTTAATTTGAAACAAACTTTGTTAGACACTCACTAGAAGATGTTTATGCTTAATATCTAAACTCTAGCTATTTGGGATTTTTTCAAAGAAGGTTTTTTAAGCTTTTGCTATACACATATAAGGAAAATCAATGACCCCCGGGACGGGGCCAATTTTGACCCCAGGGCTTTTATTTGAACAAACTTAGTAGACACCCATTAGAAGATGTTTCATGCCAAATATCTAAGCTCTAGCTCTTTGGGTTCTTTAAAAGAAGATATTTAAAGTTTTTTCTTTCGGTTGCCATGGCAACCAGAGTTCTGCATGGAATTAAATTCTTTGAACAATTTTTAAAGGTGACCACCAAAGGAACATTCCTGTGAAGTTTGGATGAAATTGGCTTTGTGGTTTATGAGAAGATGACATTTAAAGCAAAAGTTTACGGACGGACGCCAGACGAAAAGCGATCACAAAAGCTCACCCTGTCACTTTGTGACAGGTGAGCTAAAAATCGACAATTAAAAAAACTCGAATTCTGTCCGGAAACTGGTTCCTGCCCAGTACTGAATAAATGTACAAGTGAACTTAATATTCTGTAGACAGTGATTTTGTACACAATTCAGGACAGTGATCAATTACATGTAAGCTAACAGTCAAAAATCAGATGTATACATTAAACAGTGATATCAAATAATAAATGTGTGTACTCATCCCCAGACAGAAACACCTAACATATCCTGTACTAATTTTGAGACAGCAATATAAAACAAGCAAATGCACATTTTCGGTGATATCAAAGACATTGTTTACACATACCTACATGTATACAGTCATAGTGATACAAATAAATTTTGCAATTTTCCTATCTAATGACATCAAACAACTTGCAAATACATACCACTTCGCACTGATATAAATCAATTTATTTATATAAATTCCAAGACAATGATATCATTTTCACATGTAAATATTAAGAGGACATTGTTTAAAATGGCATTGTTAAAAAACAGTGAGTATTAAATTGACAGTCTCAAAAACAAAGTATATATACATTTACACAACTTGTGGACACATTTTTTGACAGTCATAACAAACAACTTGCATACAAATAAATAGGCAGCAATATCAAACAATTTATGAACATACACATGGACAGTGATAATCGAACATATTACATATACCTAAATAGTAAAATCAAACACCTTGTGTGAATGTACCTGGACAGTGAAAGTTATATCAAACAGCTGGTTTACATCAGTCCTATTCCTAGCTCTTTTAGGAAAAAGTAATTAGCCCAGTTTGGGAAGTTTAGCATCATCGACTTGCTTAATTGGGAAAAATATTTGGTATTATTTGAAATCTCCTTTTAGACTCTTTTGGCTCAGTATTTGAATAGCGCGACAATGTTTAATCTAACCAACACAAATATCAAAGCATAACATAAACAATAATATTTGAAGAAAGATGAAATGTGAGGAAACATAATTATGTTTGTTAGATACTGGAATGAACATCAGCAAATTTGTTAGTTTGGATATTGGGAATTTCAGTTCGATTGAGATTTTTTTAAAAGATTGGGAAAAAATAAGCATATTTGCCATTGTGAATGTGTCGGATATTCTGACCCATGGTGACACCGGGGAAAAAGCCTGTACAGTAATCTAAATAGGGATATCAAACAACCCTTACCTCTTTTTTAACATTCTCCTCAGCCTGAGGTATGCGCTTCAAATTTATTATCTTAACAGCAATAGCTTCATCAGTTGTACTGCTAACTGCCAACTTTACTCTAATAGAAGAAATACAACAATTGTATAAGGCAGTGTTTTTAATACAAATTATCAGATAACTAACAAGAGCTGTCTGTAAGACAGCGCGCTCGACTTTTTTATTGCTTGCCAATAAAAAAAGTTTTTGCAGTAAAAGGCAATACAAGAATCTCTGTATTTTTAAAGTGAACAATGGCCATGAGCATTAAGATATTTAGTGAAGAATTATTTTACTGAATTGTGTGATACCCTTGAACACTGCAGCAAAGTTTGAAATGTTTAAGTCAAAAGAGGGCTGGTAAGAAAGAAAAAAAAACTGAGTTGAGCCTTAAATAAATTTAATAGTATTAAACCCACTTTGAGAGTGAACAAGTGGATAGGAATGAATTTTTTTAGATTTTTTAAGTTTTTTAGTGCTTGCCTATAATACAAAACATTGACAGTTAAGGGCCATAATTCAAATAAAATCTTTGACAGAATTACCTTCTCCTGGACATGTTTGGGAATCATGATTGTAAACAAGTATTCCAACTTTCAAATTAATATCTCAAACAGTTCAGTCAAAAAGTGGACTGGTACTAAAAAACTTAACCAAGATTCTAAGTCGATAAAAGCCCTTAATTTTTAAAACAAATCCTTGACAGAGTTACCTTCTCTTGCGTACAGATGGGGGTAATGATGTGAAATAGCATTAAAGTTTCAAAGCAATATCTCAAAGGGTTAGGCAATAAGTGGATTTTACCCATATTCAATTGTATTTTCTAAGTCAAAAAGGGGCATAATTCTGTCAAAAACCTTGACAGAGTTATGTCCTCTTGTCTGTTGATGAAGGTCGTGATGGTAAACAAGTATGGTCAGTTTCAAAGCAATACCTCCAATGGTTTTGAAATAAAGTGAGGTGGTACAAAAAACTTAACCAAGCTCAATACACTTTCTAAGTCAAAAAAGGGCCATAATTCTGTCAAAAACCTTGACAGAGTTATGTACTCTTGTCTGTAGATGGAGGTTATGATGGTGAACAAGTATGGTAAGTTTCAAAGCCATACTTGTAATACTTCTGAAATAAAGTGGGGTGGTACGAAAAACTTAACCAAGGTGTGACGCCGACGCCGACACCGACGCCGGGGCGAGTAGGATAGCTCCCCTTTTCATAGAAAAGTCGAGCTAAAAATCGAATGATACCAATCTTCACAGATTAAAGTTTTGTAAAGAAATTACATTTTACTTGTGAACAAGTTAAATAGACCATTGAAATTTGAAAGTATGCATCTTGTGTGAAATTCTACCAAATTTCACATTTTTTACCTTTCCTATTTATTCAGCAAAAAGAACATCAAAATAATTCAACTTTAGAATATAAATGAATACTTTTTACCTTTTTATTTGCATGAATACTGCATGTTAAAGTAAATAATTTCTACAGAGATTCAGAATCTACATTTTAAATTGGGAGAATAGAGGACTGAAATGAGACAGGAGTGAAAAAAAGACTGACCTTAGTCTGCTTGTGGCAAACTGACTCTATCCATGCTACCAGTGCAGACCAAGATCAGTCAAAACATCTATGCCATCTGATAAATACCTGCACTGTTTGCTATTCAGTCCATAATTATTTTGAAGATTTCCCTTAAAAAGTTGAATGGTTTTGTCCACAGTGAAAAATGGACAAGTCCATTTAAAATATTTAGTGTTTAAGTGTTAACACAACTTACTCTCCATATGCACCCTCACCGAGGGTCTGTACAAAGTCCCAGCCTTCTACAAATGCTGTTACACCTGTCATTAGTCTGTTGTAGAAGCAGCTGTCCAACTAGATACACTTGAAGATACTGTTGTCAATCACTCCATTGAGGTAAAGCAATCCATAGAACAAACCTGAAAAATGTTCGTCATTTATATTTCTTGAAAGGCCAACAAGATAATTCTTTTAAACTTGTTCCATTATTAAACATGACACACAAATACACATTGAAATAAAAATATCTTGATTGAATTTAGATTTGTCAGACTTTAAAATTTCTTTTTACCGATTTTACTGACACATCATTAGTCCATAAAAATTATGTATAATGCAACGTTTAAAATAAAAGTAAATTGTTTTTAATTGCTCCAAATAAGTGTAAGTGTGCCAATATGTCACTGTGGTTAATATTTTTTTCACAAACTTGGACAATTCTTTAATAATGAACAATTTTTTTAGATGTAATACATGAAAACACAATAAAATCATTATACTATCACATATTGGCGCAATAACTGAGAACATTAAAACGCCACTGAAAGTTTGTTTTAGTCCAAACTTTGAATTTATATAACACATGTGAAATGAAATCTAATAAAAGAAAATATTTCTATAACAACTGAAAGTTATTAGGATACCTTTTGTTTCTACTATGTAATTTTAGATAGAAGAAATATCTTCATTATCTTTCAAGAAATTTTAGCCCAATACAACCATTGACAGTTTCTATATATAAACTGCATATATAACTGAGGTATATCAAGTGTAAAACACGAGTTTTTCCCTTATCTTCGAGTAAAATCGCTATTTCTTATTGCTAAAACAATACAAATTTTGCCATTTTTAAAGCGTTAGTTTCTTGCGATTAATAGTCCAATTTTTTTTTTCATTACACCAATGAAAAGCTTCATCTAAGTATATAAATCAACATCCTTTTAGACACCAAAGCTTTTTAAATTAATTGTTAAACCTACCACATGTCAGGCAATTTAACATACCATTTATACAGAGAGATACTCAGCCGGTAATCTTTACTAACAAAATTACTGATAAGAAAAGCATATCATCTGCTAGTTCGGAAACTGTAAATTGGTGTATTGGGCAATGTGTCCAGCCTCATAATCAGATACCCATGGCCGAACCATTGACATTCATCAGCCGTGGGATTTTTCACCAATATCCAGTGGCTCAGAGATGTATCAAAGACAAATTTTTCATTGGTTCCCTCCTATTTCATGAGGCGCTTACAATGTAAAACTTGTTCTATACATCGAGTGATGAAACGTTAATTCTAGAAAAAACATTACTATTGTGCTCTCTGCTTGTTGAATAATTTAGATTGGGAATAGTTTTGCCTTTTAAATTGGCAAGACACATGAAACAGGTTTACACCGTAGGCGCTTTCTGATGTTTGTTTACCTTGCTGTCGAAGAATATAAATTTTGCTAAACACGATTTCATGGGTCGATGTTTTACGAACCTGTATATCAACGCAATTTGATTCATTATACACACGGTTGATTACATGTTATGTTACATGTTAATCAGCCGTGGGTATCGGACCATGGTCCAGCCTTTTAAAACATAAACTTAAAAGACAGTTGCTGTGCTTTTTTCACATACAGGGAAGGGATCTTTTAACTAAAAGTTCAATTTTTTTTAAAAAGATGCGTTATATACGTTAATGATTTTTTAAAAAGAACGATTAAAATATGTTTTTAATATCTTAGTATGTGAAGCGCATCGTAATTTATTTGGGCGAAACTTTATGGTGCGAATAATTTCGTAACAGGCGCGAATAATTATGTCGATACCTCTTCATATTTTTTTTCAATGAATAAATTCTATTTGATAATTTAACACTTCTATAAACTTACAATATTTTCAATTGATCTGAAAATTATGTATCAAGTTCTATATTACATTAAAGAAAAACTGCCAATTTGTGTGATTTGATGTTTTGTATTTAGCGCTTTCCTTCTTATTGAAGATTCGCCCGGTCAAGGGAGACTATTCTTGAGTCGACGTGTACTTCCGGTTTGAAATCAAAACTTCAAGAAATGGGGAAGGTAATTAATAATTCCGTTATTTCTTCAAACCCTGTCACTTGCATCTCACTTTCACTGTATTAAAATCATGATATTTTTTTGCGCAACAAAAATTTGTCCGTACATTGTTGGTGTCAATTCCTTTCCTCTGGAAAAATATTTCCATATGTAGCATATCATGCATACTGGGGTCTAAAACAGGTGTATACTATACAGTATAGATATATAAGATAAAATTAAGATTTATTCCGTTTTCTTTAGTATATTATATACAAGTTTTACTTCTGAAATATACATTGGGGTCTAAAATCCAGGAGATTATTCTGCAAAAACATTGTCTTGTGTCAACTGTCATGCGAATTTTCAAACATTGATCACTTAGTTCTGGCTTCCATAACTTATGTAATAAAATGAAATATATCGCTTTTATTTTGACATTGTGCGAACAGGTCTAGCAGTACTCTAAAACCTATTCATTGAAATCTCTTTAGCTATTGATTACTATGCTCATATATGGTTTATAATCATAATAATCTTTCTATAAGAGAAGACTGACTGATTTCTTGGTATTAATTAATATCAGTATAGTTTTATTACTACATGTATAAGACAAGTAAAACTAAACAGTCATCAAATTTAGCACTGGCCTGGTGGTCCAAGGCCAGTGAAAATGAGTTCAGGCCAGTGTAAATTTTAAGAAAATTTAGTTAAATATATAGTAGTAGAATATATTCAAAACTGGAATTCAGGCCGTAAATTCAAAATCTTAAATTCAATGACTGCTAAATTCCTAAATCTGTCACATAAATCAGCCGACCATTCCAGAGGTGTCCCAGGGAAGTTTTTTCAGCATAAAAATAGAAATTTGAAACTTTAATTTGCAGCAAGAACTATTCTACTTTTATGCAATTATATTTGCATGTTAAATATTCTAATAAGTTTATATCAGATAGATTTCCCTAGACAGTTTAGTAATACCCAAGAACTGTGGATACAAAGACACTGATTGATAATTATGTGTGACCTTTCTCTGTCAATTTAAGATTGTTTACACCCTGCTGCTTGCTGGGCGTCAACAACAACTGTCTGCATTAAAGATCCCGCCTACATTTACCTAGCAGTTTGTCATGTACGCCTGGCCAAGTCGGCAAAGTTTTTTGAAGTCTTGATAAGACCACCCATAAATTTAATGATGATTGACACTTCTAGCACACTTAACGATCTCAAGCGCCTGTCAATCACTTGTGTCCAGGATCAGTTCATTTAGAAGAGAGAGGTGTGAAATTAAATCTTGTCAACAAATGCTGATTTTAGGTCTCTCATCACAAGGGACATCTCTTTAATTTCAGGGATGTTATGGCATGTATGTACTTATATGATTAATGCAAATTTACTTACCAAAACCTAATTACCAAATGTCGGCTCAAAAACACTTAACTCATCCATATTTTTAAGCAAACATTCCCTTGAACCACCCATTTTTTTTGGTGGGCATAATGTATGTAAAGTGTTCCATGACAATAAGATTGTGAAAAAATTATTATTATATTTTGATATTATAACCTAAACTTTGTTTACTTATTTGTAGGAGGAATCTAATACACAACAGGTTAGTTTTGGGCTTCAGATATCGGTGATTGGAAATGTAAACCTCTGTTTAAAAGATTGAACTATCAATCTTTTTATTTGGCATGCCCCATGTTATTCCTAATACATGTAGTTAGAAAATTAAAATTGAATTCAATTGAATATCATAATGAAATAAAATAGCAAACTAAGAGACTAAATGTAAACCTCCTGTTGTACAGTAATTATTGGGTTGTTTTTTTAATCAAAGTTGAGGTTGGAAAGTACAATGTATATACTTCCCCTGATTCTGAAATACCACTCCAATAGTTTTTGAAATATGTAAAAATTCATTTCTCCAAAAGATTCATTCTAGTATCTAAAGGGAGCAACAATTCTTTGTAGTTTGAAATAGGACAAGTGTTTTCAAATACATGTAATGATGTACTACATGTATATATGATATTATGAATTTAACATGAAATGGACTGTTTTCTCAGGTAATAAATTCAATGATTCCTATTTATAATCCCCTGCCAAAACGCAATTGTTCCCTTTTAATGGGCATTACCACCAAAAGGTGAAAAGAAAACACTGGTAATTTGTTGACCTGAACTTTCTTGCTTGAAAAGATATACAAAAAAGAAACAAAACACAAAAACTAAGTTATAAGCAATAAATGTTGTACATGTTCTTTGTTGTTCTGGAAACTAGAATTTTTTTTACTGTACACTTTACTACATGTAGATCCATTATGTAATAATGAAATGTATATTAAAATGAATATTAATGATACAATGACGTCAGTTAAATGTTTGCCTACAATGTGGTATCTCCAAAACTACCAAAGCAGTGTTCGAAATTAGCAGTAGTCCGATAGCCCCTGACTACTAAATTTCTCCTCGGGCTACCAACTTTCCACAGTAACAAGCCCGACCAGGCTACTGTATTTTCAGAGGCAATATATAAACAACTGTTTTGAACAAATAAGTCGTGCTAGTGAAATGTCTTTTGGGCTAGTGAATATTCCAATCTGGTAGTCCGACAAGCCTAGTTGATTTAAATCTGAATTTCTTACACTGCCAAAGGGAATGGGAAGAATTTTCATACACTTATATGAGAGCATAATAGGAAGTCTCTTTCCAAGGCCCATAACTCTAACATGGATTTTGACAGCATTATGGCCCTTTTTTAAACTTATCAATTCTTAATTATCCAGGCTCTTAGTTTTATTATCTAGCACTGAGAATAGTCGAGCACGCTGTATTACCCTGAAAGCTCTTGTTGTTATTTCACATTGTGCTTAAATTATCATTGTTTAATGATACAATGCTGAAATGGATAAATGGTTTATTACCCCTGTAGTAATTACCATATGCATGTACTTAATTAAATGATATGTGCATCTTGATTAATTTGTTTTTCAGGTACCAGTACATGTGTACATTTGTATAGAAATAATTATCAATTGAATACATGTATAAGGAGATTTCAGTACACAAATATAATTTTAGAATGTTCATTATCACTAAATGCATTTTATTTTATTACATGAAAAAGTTCATGTCAATCACATGTAAA